AGGTGTGGTGACACACTTCTGCAATCCCTGAACTCTCACTCTGGAGGCTAAAGCAGAAGGATCATGAGTTCAAGATCTGACCAAACTACACAGTGAGTTCAAGGTTATCCTGGTTACATACTGATACCCTGTCCTGTGTCAAAAACAAAACCCAAATATGAGGCTATAACTCAATGTTATAGTCAAGTGTGCTTGACTAGCATGTGCAAGGTCCTGTGTTTGACTAAAAGAAGCCATGTACAAAGAACTAAAGGAAGCTGTTTCACTTTGGCAGTACTGGGATCTGAACTCAGGACTTCATGCTTGTTAGGTGGGTGCTCTATTACTTAAGACATGCCACCAGTCCCAGAGAGACAAGTTTTATAAGGAAACAATTCTGGAGTTGAAAAACCAATGAAAATGAAAAATTACTACAGGACTTCAACAGCAGATTTGACAAGGGAGAAAAAAAAATCACCAACATAAAAACAAATCAATTGAAATCACTCAGTCTATGGACCAGAAAGAGACAATGAATATCAGAGGCCTGTGACACCATGAATTGTGTCAACTTATGCATTTAATGGGAGTTCCAGAAGAGACTGGGGTAGCTGATTCTCCATCAGAAATCATGGAGGTTGCCAGGCACCAGTGGCTCATGCCTGTAATCCTAGCAGCGATCAGGAGGATCGTGGTTCGAAGCCAGCCTGTGCAAAATAGTTCCTTGAGACCCTATCTTGAAAAATCCCTTCACAAAAAAGGGCTGGTGGAGTGGCCTGGGCTTACAGGCATGTACTACCATGCCTGGCTTGGTACGTATCTTTTAAAAGAATTTTTAAATTGAATACTTTACAATTCACATGATCATTTATATTTTTACCAGATTCAATGTTTATCACTGCTTTTCTTTTCTTTTTTTTTTTTTTTTTGAACTAGGGTTTGAACTCAGGACTTCTCACTCTACCGCTTGAGCCATGCCTCTAGTCCATTTTGCTCTGGTTATTTTGGAGATTGGGGTCTCATGAACTATTTGCCCAGGGCTGGCCTCTAACTTAGCTCCTTTGATCTCAGCCTCTCAAATAGTAGGATTAGAGGCATGAGCCACCAGTGACTGCCTGATTTCTTTTTTATATTGTTTTGATGGGGCCTTGCTATTTTGGCAGATACATGCCACCATTCCCATCTCTATCCATCTTTTTTGTTTTGTTTTGTTTTGAGATAGCCTCTTACTCTATAGCTCAGGCTGGCTTGGGGATTCTATGGCCTTGCCTCACAAGTACCTGGGCTTACAAGCATGAACCACCATGCCTAACTTTTATCATTATTTCTTATATTCTCTTCCCCTAACTTGGTATCTTTAATTTAAATAGGATATTTCTTCAAAAGTTGCCTGAGGATATGTATTTCTACTACATGTTCCAAAATGTCTTTTGCCTTCATATTTGAATAAAAATTTTAGATGGGACAGAATTCTTAAAGACTGCTATGCTTTTTCAGTCAATCTATATTAAATTATTCCAACTTTCACTGTTGAAGAAAACCAATTTTCTTTCCTATGTAAACATCCTGCTTAAGATGACAGCTAAGCTGGGCACTGGTGGCTCATGCCTGTAATCCTAGCTACTCAGGAGGCAGAGTTCAGGAGGACTGCAGTTCAAAGCCCTGAGTTCAAACCCCAGTACCAAGGAGGGGGGAAAAAAAAAAAAAAAAAGAAACCAAAATAGCATTTAGATGTTACAATCGTTCTTCCTGAGCTTGATTTCTTAAGAATTGTTCATGAAAATTCAAATTCTGTTTCTTTCATTAATTTACCTTCATAGATCACTTTTTCTCACTCCCTTAGTCTTTACTTTGAACCACTGTGACTCCTGCACCTTAGTTGTTTATCTATTTGGCTCCCAGTTACACAGAGACACACATACACAGGATGACAGGGTTGGAGACATGTAAGCAGTTCAAACCTTAGCACCATGCCTCCCCCCCAAAAGAAAAAGAAGAGCCGGTGGTGGCTCACATCCATAATCCTCAATACTTGGGAGGCAGAGACCAGGAGGATCCGACGATCACATTCAAAGCCAGCTGGAGCAAATAGTTCAACCTATCTTGAAAATATACAACATAAAACGGGGCTGGTGGAGTGGCTCAAGTGGTAGAGCACCTGCTAGCAGTCATGAGGCCCTGAATTCAAACGCCAGTACCAACCAAAAAAAAAAAGGAAAAAAAAAGAAAACAAAAAAAAAACCCCATGGTTGCTGGAACCAGGGTGCTTTATTAGCTGCATAACTGTGGATAAATATGGTAAGTAAGTCTCACCTGTGTCAGTTTCTAAAGTGTAACCTGGCATAAAACAATTAGAATGATCTGCCTTGATATATAGTAATCATTTAGAACAACTAAGTCTCTAGAGAAAGATACAAGGTAAAAATCACCAGTCCCCTACCTCTAGGAATGAAACAATGTTATAGAGAAATTCCAATCAAAGGCTATAACCCTAATCTGCCCTACAGAGTGACAAAGATGATTCTTTTCTATCATTACTGTTAAAAGCTCAAACACATCAGAAATATCATCTTACCAAATACAGTCTGATATAAAAATAAGCAGAGGCAACTTAAACTTGTGCCAACCATTATGGTAGCCATTAGCTACAGTTAGCCATTTAAATCAACTGAAATTCAGTCTTTAGTTGCACTAACCTTATTTTAAGCTTTCAACAGCCACACATGGTTAATGCCTGTTTTCCTAGACAGCACTGCCTTATTTAAGAAGCTGGTGAAGTGGCTCACATAGAGCACCTGCCTAGCAAGTGTGAAGCCCTGAGTTCAAACCCAGTACCGCATTAAAAAAAAAATTTTTAAGAAAAAATTATTACAACTGAACCTTACACTGTAACAATGTAAATTATTAATGGATCTGCCTTCATCACAAAAGGCACATTAATCTTGGACCACAGTCAGAAAAACTAGGTTCAAATCCCACTTATGCCACTAAACATCTTCAGGGAACCTGGACATGTCATTAAATCACAAGCAGCACACAATATAATGGTTAAGAGCATATGCCCTCTGGACTACTTGGATTTGAATTCTAGCTCTTATTAGCACCAAGTTACTTTATGTTCCTCATTTTTTGCTTCATATTACAGTAGTGTCTACCTCTTACAGATGTTGAGGATTAAATAGTTACTATCTGTAAAAGCGCTTATAACAATGCCTGGCATTTCTAAATGCTACCTATTTACTAAGTAAAAATCTCTTAAAGCTATTTTCTCAATTTCAAAATGAGCAAGAACTTGTTCTCATAAGGAATATTTTGTGAATTAGAGAGACGTAAAAGCACCAAATATTAAACTACATTACCTTCTTTAATATCCCACAATATCTACTAAATTGCTCTGCTAGTAGTGGACGTTTTACAAATAATTTTCCATAAAACAGAGCACCATTCTCTGGGGACATAACGGGATAAATTTGTTTTTTTGTACAAGTGAGGTTGAACTTGGGGCTTCATACTTACAAAGCAGGAGCTCTACTGCTTGAGCAACACATCCAGTCCAAGGGATAAACTTAAATAAGGCTTACTGCTTATTCAAGAAAAAGCCTGCTATAAACTTACTGTCCCAAAGATGGAAATTACCTACCTCAATTTGAGTTCTCAAGGAGCAATATGCACAGCCTTTAACCATTACAGTGAGTCGCCATTCCCCCCATCCCCTAAAGAAACAAATAAACAGGCTATAATTTTTTGGAACGTTACCCATTTTGTGAGTTATGAGAGACAGTTGTGTTTTGGGTCACAATAATGAAGATTGTCTCAAATATGCTTTCACAAACCGAAAACAGAACCACCAAACAGCAAATCCGGGGAATCTCATTAAAAATCATTAGAAACCCTTCTCCTGTTTGCAAACACAACCCACAGCCAATGAAATTTCATAGACTATTTAATGAAAATGCAAATCGACAACTGCTAAACTGAAACTTGTGAAAAACAATGCCACCACGGTACAAGAAAAGATGATCCAGAACACACAAAACAGGACTGTATTCTGTTGAAATAAACTTCAAAGGCTGTCAGCTATATTAGACCTCCGAGGCAAAGTGGAAGCCAAATCCTTTCTAGAGTTTGGGGTTTCTGTGAGGTTATGGGGCTGTAAAATTAAGGAAAGCAAGACGACAAAAGGAGGCGGATAAGGTAACTTTTAGTATTCATTAGAAAATTACTGTTAGCTGCTGCAACAAATGTTTTTAAAACTAACTTCATCACAAGTCCCCATCCTTTTTCTTGGTGATAGGGGTGGGAAAGGAGAGTAAGCATATATTACTGAAGTTCATCTAGCTTAAAGCCTCCTGAAGTAAGGATTCCCAGTACCCGCAGACAAAGGCCCTTTGTGGAGCATGGGGAACAACGAAATTTAAAACAAGGGACAGGGATGAAGAAGAAATAGGGAAAAAGGATCAGAACGATACAGGCCCTTCGATGGTTACGGAGTGCTCTCCTATCCTAGGACAACACCGGTCCGCCAGTCCCCCTCGCCCCTCTCTCCTTCCCCACCCAAGCCTCAGCAAGAGCGCGCACGCGCAGCAAGTACGGGTTGCGTGTGGCGACGCGCAGGCGTAAAGTGCGGAGAAACAATGAGCTTTGTTGCCGAGGCGGCAGTGGGGGCGGGGGGGTAGGGAGAGGGTACCCAGCAGGGGCAGAAAAGACAGAGGGCTGAGAGACGCAAGAAAGTGCTATCCCGGCAGCCCTCGCGCGTCACCAAGGACCCGGATAGAGGGTTGCCGAGATCCAAATCATAAGTAATGACAATGAGAAAAAAGCAACGGCCATTTCTCAGGAAAGAAAAAACTCTGAGCTTATCCCTCAGGCTGAAGGAAACAGGCAAGGAATTATGGGGGGGGGTCCCACGGCACTCAATAGGCAACAAACTGAGGGACCCACAGGCCCCTCAGCCGTCCCCGAGGAGCTGCCCCTCGACCGCCGCACCCTTCTCGTTGCTCCGCCCGAGGTGACCCCCTCACCCAGTGCACGGCAGCGGGGACGGCAGCCAACGAATCCTGTCGGCCTCCGCGGATCTCCACAGGCAGCGCCGCTCCCCCGCTCGACGTGCGCCTCGCCCGCCGCCTCCCTTCTCCAGTCCAAACAAACACCCAGCCCGGAAGTGACTTCACTTCCGCCGCTGGCCCCGCCCTCTCGTTCTGCCAGCGCTGCCCTCCTGGGCCACTAGAGTGCGCAAGAGAGAACCAGTGACTCTAAAAGTCTTTTGGTGTCCTAAGCCGCACACGTTTGCTTCCGGCATGTCGGCGGACTACGGGTTATACTTACATTGTCGCGTTCTCTGTGTGAGGAGGGTGTGGGGGTGTCCCCATCCTTTCAGAATGCTGGGATGTAGTGAATGGCTGACCTGGAAACAAAGATGCAAGGATACACACTCCTACAGACCTAAAACACATGCTGATACCACAAAGGAACAGTCACACGGACATACGCACTAAATATACAGTGTTATATATGTTATATAACATATATGTAATTTATATGTTATGTTACACTAAGTGCCATACACCAATGTCATATTTCTCATGACACAGGAACATAACAGAAATTCAGAAGCATGTTAACTGATTTACAAGCATGTTTAGGGACACAAATACTTTGCAAAATACCCAACAGGTGCCCAGGTGGCACCTGTTATTTAAGACAGGAAGTATCCTTGTCTAGACGGGATAGAAAGCCTCGGGAATTTCCAAGTCCTTTAGTGCACTGGCCCTGTATGTTATTCTTACCCATTCTTCCTTGCTATCATCGACAAGCTTCAAAATATATTTCTAGCAACACTAGCAAGGTAAAGAGTGCATGTGCAAAAAATCTGGTTGTTCAAATATGGACGCACTAATTATATTTGGAAAAGGACATACAAACCGATGATTTCTTTCTTTCCTCTGGGGAAGGGAAAGGAGCAACTGGGAAATAAATGGAAAGAATTACTTTTTTTTGCCAGGCACCTGTGGCCCATCCTTGTAATCCTCAGGAGGCAGAGATCAATCAGGAGGATCACAGTTCGATGCCAGCCCGGGCAAAGGAGGATTGCATTTCAAAACCATCACCGGCAACAAAAGACCCTGTATTAAAACTATTCATCACAAAAAAGGGCTGGTGGAGTGACCCAAGTGGTAGAGCACCTGCCTAATAAGCATGAAGACTCCTCCCCCCACCCCCCGGTTCAAATCCCAGTACTGCCCCCCCCCAAAAAAAAGCTAATCATGAAAGCCAGGCCTATTGCTACAATCTGTAATCCCAGCTTTCTGAAAGTCAAGGTAGGAGAATCATAAGTTTCATATCAGCCTGAGCTACAAGGCAAGACTATCTCAAAGAAGAAAAAGTTAATCATGCAATAACTGAACTTGTTACTTAGTAACACAAACAACTTTGACAGTAATACTGAAAAATACTTGCTAAATCCTGGTTTATATTCATGTGAATCACTCAAAGTCCTATGCTAATTCTACTTTTTTTGTGGAACTGAGGTTTGAACTCAGGGCTTCCCCCTTGCAAACCAGGCACTCTACCACTTGAGCCACACCTCCAGTTCATTTTGTTCTGGTTATTTTGGAGATGGGGGGGTGTCTCACAAACTGTCTGGGCTGGCCTAAATCCTCCTGATTTCAGTGACTAGGATTGCAGGTATGAGCCATTGGCCTCTAGAGGGTTCTCATGTCAATTTCTACATCACAGTGGTTGAGAAAGCTTGATGAGTTGTTTTCCCTTGGCATCCTCTGCGCACACTGGTTACTTGTAAAACGGGTTTCAAGATAGTGATACTAGCTGAGGGTGTAGCTCAGTGTAGAGCATCTATCATGCATGAAGTCCTCAGTTCCACCACCAGCAATCGTATCTTTCCCCCAAATAGTGATGCTTTACTTGGATGGCAGTGGTGGTGACTTGTGAATGAAAAACACTATTAGAGACTAAAGGCTAACAAGTTTGCTGATGAGGACACTACAATGGGATTAAGAGAGAGCTGGTTTAAAAGTACTAGAGAAATTTACCTGTTTTGTGCATATAGCAACAACCTACCTTAAGTTTGAGGTTGAAATAAGAATCAGATGAGCATGGTAAACCTTGTAAATAATTGTAGTCATCAAAATGGCTACAATTAGGCTCCCACTGACCATTACCAACTTCCTACAGACCTCTCTCATTCTTACTAATATGTGAAAAAGTATAATTTCTGAACCAAATACTCCGCATAGGAAGTTATCCAAAGATACTGTACATATGTAAAGACATGTAGGTATGTAAGTATATTCATAGCTATGTTATAACCAAAAAACCCTTAAAAGCCTATTGATAGGGAATTGGTTAAAATATGGTGTCAGTAAAATCAAACATTTGTTATTATAATTACAAAGATACATCCATTGATAGCTAATCAGGAGGCAGAGATCAGGAAGAACATGCTTCAAAGCCAGCCTGGGGAAATAGTTCACTAGATCCTATCTTGAAAAATCCTTCACAAAAATAGGGCTGGTGGAGTGGCTCAAGGTGAAGGCCCTGAGTTCAAGCCCCAGTAATGCAAAAAACAAACAAAAAAACCCTATCCATTGATATTGAATGATACTTTTTGGTGGTACTGGAATTTGAACTCAGGCCCTTGTGCTTGCTAGAAAGATGCTCCACTATTTGAGCCATTCTACCAGTCAGATTCATGCTATATATGTTGTTTTTTCTTCTCCTTTGTTTTAAGCAGGTTGCAGTCAAGGACGGTGGTTACATCTGCAATCTAGATCTCGGGAGGCTAAGGCAGGATTGTGAGTTTAAGGCCAGGCCTACATAGCAAGTCTAAGGCCAGCCTGAGTTAAATAATGAAGATCTTCGCTTAAAAAAAAAAAAAGCTGCAAAACACCATTATAATTTTCTATTATATATGTAAACATGCCTGCATGCCTATAAATGCCAAGTATCTGATACAATGGTTACCAAAATGGATTTTCATTTTTTGTTGAGACAGGGTCTCACTGTGTAGCTCAGGCTTGGTCATATATACTCCATTCTCCTGCCTTAGCCTCCGAATTGAAGTGGATGTGTGTGTGTGTGTGATGCTGGAGATTAAAACCTGGCCTCCTGCATGCATATAAAGTGCTCTACCACAAAGCTACTCACCTTCCTGGCACCATATCTAGGTGGTCATATTTTGAGAAATTTACTACTTTCTGAATCATATTGTCCAAATTTTATGAAAGCTTGAATTTCATTTATAACCGGGGGAAAATTCACTAACATCCCAAATAAAGTCTAACACAGGTTCTTGTAATAACTTGGTAATAGCCTTATCCCTATGCTTGTTTCATGTGGAAGTTGCGCAGAGATTGTACGATCCCATTACCGAGTGTTAAACAAAGTCCTGGTACTGTGAGGGAAAGTGTTCAAACCAATAGCTGAGAGGATGCCATTATTACTATTGTTATTTTTTTGAGACAAGGTCTCAATACGTGACCTAAGCTGACTGTGAATTAGTGATCCTCTGCCTTTGCCTCCCCAGTGCAAAGGTTGCAAGTGTGTCATCATGCCTGGCTATCAACATTTTCTTTTTTTTTATGGTGGCAGTGGGGTTTGAACTCAGGGCCTCACACTTGCTAAGGCAGGCCTTCTTACCTCTTGAGCTACTCCACCAGCCATTTTTTGTGATACTTTTTTTTTCCAGACAGGGTCTCAGGAACTATTTGCCTGGAGCTAGCTTCAAACTGAGATTCTCCTGATCTCTGCCTGCCTCTTGAGTAGCTAGAATTACAGGCATGAGCCATCACTCTTCAACACATTTTTGAGGCTGGCGTGCCTCAAGCAGTAGAGTGCCTCTTATGCAAGCATGAAGCACTGAGTTCAAACTCCAGTCCCACCAAAACAAAAGAAACCCTCAAAAAAGAATAAACACTTTTTGAATGCTTACTATGTGCCAGTACTATCCTATGCTTGAAGACCTAGGGTTTTTACTAGAAAAACTTTTTAGTGAAATTTAAAACTATCCTGACTTTTAAAAAGGGTCAAAACTATATAGTAGTTGGAATAGGTAAAGGTTTTGCAGAGTAGTGATATGTGCCTACAGATACGCTAACACTAGAAAGCAGGAGCAAGTCTTCGACAACATGGGCCATGCCCATTCTTGCTGGTTTTGTGCGGCTCAGCTGCTCCTTAAAATAAGAATGGGTCAGGTGGGTGGAATGGCTCAAGTAGTAGAGTGCCTGCCTAGCAAGCATGAGGTCCTGAGTTCAAACCCCAGTACCACCAAAAAAATAAAAGATGAGTCAGATACACTTACCACTTGTGAGCAGTTACCACAATTAAGAAAATGAGTTAGATTACCTTTACAGCCCCACAATCCATTACATCAATAATCATTTAAGTCAAGGCTTCACACTTGCAAAGCAGGCACTCTGCTGCTTGAGCCACACCTACAACCCATTTTGCTCTGGCTGTTTTTGGAGATGGTCATGAACTATTTGCCTGGGCACCCTCAAACCATGATCCTCCCAATCTTACCTCCCAAATAGTTAATAGACCTGAGCCACCCACCAGTGCCTGGCTCCCAGTTTCTCTTTACAGAAACACATGGCCTCCTAAGAGTAGCTCATAATGAACTTATATATAGCAGCTCATATAGAACTAAGTAGTTGTCAAGAAAGAACAAATTGTCTTTTTGTGCTTGTGTAACTGGGGTTTAAACTCAAGGCTTCAAACTTAGCCAGGCATATGCTGTACCACTTGATCCACACCTTCGGTCAATTTTTGACCTGGTTATTTTAAGAGATGGGAGCGCATGAACTTTTTGCCCAGGCTGGCCTTGAACCAAGATTCTCCCAATCTATCTCCCAAGTAGCTAAGATTATAGGCATGAACCACCAGCTCTAATTGCCATTTTATATTTCTAGCTAACTCATACGGAAGAAAAAAAAAAATCTTCAATTTAGAGACAGGATTTCACTATGTTGCCCAAGCTGCCTTCAAATCAGCCTCCTGAGTTAATCAGGATTTATAAAGTGCTTGCCAACGTGTCAGGCTAATTTCCCATGTCAAATACTCCAAATTAGGTATTAGTGAAAAGCCACCATTTCTGATTTCTCAACCACATTAAAGTTGGGCAATGAGGAATTTACTTTGTTTTTGGTAAGCAGGGAGGGGCAAAAAATGAAACATGAAGACCATTTTGTCCTAGTCAAAAGTAGGACTAGATGGGCACTGGTGGCTCACACCTGTAATCCTAGCTACTTGGGAGGATTGTTAGAAACCAGCCCAGGCAAAGCTTGGGAGGCCGTATCTTGAAAATACCCAACACAAAAAGGGCTGGCACAGTGGCTCAAGTGAGCACCTACTTAACAAGTGTGAGGCCCCGAGTTCAAACCCCAGTACCACAAAACGAACAAAAAACAGGAAGTATGGCTCAGGTGGTAGGACACCTATCCAGTAAGCTCAATGCCTTATAGTACTGCACCTTCCCCCCCAAAGTACGACTTGAGACCCTGGGTTCCATCCCCAAAACCACAAGGCAAAATAAAACACCTGCTCGTAGGGCTCTTGCTGCTTAGAAGCAACTCATAAATCCTGTCATGTAAAGCATAGTACCATGTTGTCAAAGATCATTAGACCTCTAATACCAGTAATTTAAACCTCTAGTAACAGTAATTTTCAACTGAAGTATATACATCCTGCTATGATTGGGAGATAATTTGACTTGAATACACCCGACATGCTGCACTTTTTTTAAACGGCACTGAGGTTTGAACTCAGGGCCCAAACTTTGAGCCACTCCACTTGCCCTTTTTTGTGGTGGGTTTTTAGAAGATAGGGTCTCGTGAAGTATTTGTCCAGGGCTAGTTTCGAATGATCTCTGCCTCCTCAGTAGCTGGGATTACAGGTTTGAGCCACTGGCACCAGTTGCACTTTTCTTTAAAAGGTTCCACTTTCACATGATTTTCATATGCATATTTGGTTTAGAGAGTCCTTAAATCTGTGTATTATAAACTTCTGAGGCTTTTCTTGAAAGTTCAAGCAAAGGTGAAGCTAGAAATACAAAGGTAAATCCTTTTGTGTTAACATATTCTTTTATAAAAATCACTGTGCATGGCTAATGTAGTTTAGCGGTACAGCATGTACTTTGCAGAAGTGAGAATATGGTACAATACCCAACTCAAGCACACACAGTGCTGCATAATAAAGTAAAAAGGAAACCTGTATTTGGCAAAATAGCAAACCCCTGAAATCTTATGTTCTATCCTACTCACCTTGAGATTTCTGACTGCACATTCTCCCAGAAATGGCTGTGTGGGGGGAAAGTTGTAGGGGTTGAAAGTCTGTCTCATATGTTTTTAATGCTCTGAGGCTGAAGGCATGGCAAGCTTTGCACTGGATGGGCCCCTAAACGGCAATTATTTTTCAGTACTTACAGCTTTATTAGAACTCATACTACAGACAATAGTAATCATTTTAGGCATAACTTCAAAGCACAAATACTTCAGTTATAGGTAAAGCAGTAATTCTGAGATCTCTATTCTTTATACCATCACCACCTGGAAACTTGTTTAACATGCAAATAAATTATCATGATCCATCCCAAGCCCTAGCTAATTAGAATTCTGGGAAAGGGTCCAGAAAGATTTGTGTGGAAAGATTTGTGGATTTTTTTGCAGTACTGTGGTTTGAACTCAAGAGCCTCACTCTTGCTAGACTAGAGCTCTACTAGACGGAGCTGGTGGCTCATGCCTGTAATCCTAGCTACTCAGGAGGCAGAGATCAGGAGGATTGCATTTTGAAGCCAGCCCAGGTAAATAGTTCTCATGACCATCTGATAAACTTTACCCTAAAAAATTGGGCTGGTGGAGTGGCTCAAGGTGAAGGCCCTGAGTTCAAGCCACAGTACCAAAAAAAAAAAAGAGCTCTACCACTGAGTTACATCCTAGCCCCATGTTAGGTATTTTTGAGATAGGGTCTTGCAAACTATTTGTCTGGGCTGGCCGTGATAAATTATCCTCCTGGTCTCTACCTCCCAAGTAGACAGGTGCTACTAGTACTGGCTGCGTCTCCATGTTAATACATATTATATACTGATTCTAGATAGAATTCACACTATCATATGTGTTGAACTTAAGGCAAGTACTTTACAACTGAGCTACCTATCCAGTCGGGGGAAAGGTCCTCCAAGTCCAGCTGACTTAACAATCAGCTCCCAGGTACTGCTTCAGAATACAATCTCAAACTCAACCACTGGATACCTGAGCTTTCAGTTCCAATAGCCATATACTACAAAAAATGGAAACCAACAAAGTGCACAAAACAACGGCATCTATCGTGCATTATCTCAAAAGGCAGACTATTGGGCTCACATTGGCAGCACATAAACAAAAAGTGGAATGATAGATTAGTATAGCCCCTGGTCAAGAATAACAAACATAGTCATAAAACTTAAAAAAAAAAAAAAAAAAGTGAAATACTAAACATTTCTCTGTGACCTAAAAAATTGTGCTGCAGTGTTTTTGCAGATTTCCATTACATGAGCTCTTTTTGGTGATTTTTTTTCCTTGTTGTACTGAGGTCTGAACTTAGGGCCTACACTTTGAATTACTTCACCAGCCCTTTTTTGTGATGGGTCTTTTTGAGATAGGGTCTAGGGAACTATTTGCCCAGGCTGGCTTCAAACCATGATCTTGATTTCTGCCTCTTGAGTAGCTAGGATTACAGAAATGAGCCACCAGCACCCACCCTTCTGGCAATTTTTAACTTGCAGAAAGTTTGCTGTGAACAATGCTAAGCAAAGAAAACAAGTTTCCACCCTTTTTGGGCCACCAGCACCTGAGAAGTACCCCATGATAACCTATCTCATCACCTTAAAATCAGACAAGGAGCCAGGCTCCACTGGCTCATGCCTGTAATCCTAACTACAGTGATAGGAAAGATTCAAATTCAAAGCTAGCTGAAGCAAAGCTTTTAAACTTGAGACCCTATCTTGAAAAGTACACAACACAAAAAAAAGAGCTGACAGGAATGGTTCAAGTGGTAGAACACCTGCTTTGCAAGCATGAGGCCCTGACTTCAAACCTATGTACTGTCAAGAAAAAGAAAAAGAAAAAAAGGGTGACAAGATAACCTCTTACTCCTAAGGAATTCAAATAATAGATATAATCCAAAAAGCTTTTCTAGAACCTTACACATTTATTCTTTGTGTTGGTGCCATAACTATACTCAAAAATTTTTTTTCTTAAGTCAGCGTTTTACTATGTTGCCCAGCCTGGCCCTCAACTCAGGCTTAAGTAAACTATCGGCTACACCACTCCACTCAATAAATGAGTATTATGACCTACAGAAGCTGTCTTGACAGAAAACAATTAAGGACTCCACTGTACACACAATGCTTTCTATACTTGCTATTATTAAAAAAAAAAAAAGTGGGTAATTAGTAAAAGCTAAAATTAAACTGAAATAAACTGCAAGGATCTTTGTACATGTTACATCAAGAGTCATTTGTCCTTACTGGGGAAGAAATAAAAATTTTAACCAACTATTTGAAATATCCCCTTAATACTTTTGGTCTGAGAGCTTCAAAGACAAATCTCCATCACTTCTTTCACCAACGTGTCTAAACATGAACTTTTGCAATTTCTTCATTCTTATTATTTGAAACTCACAAGTTTACAAACACAAAACATGAACAGTGCTATTTTTAGTTATGTAACAGTAACAATGAATCCACCAGCACCACAAAGTTTAAAATTTAGATCTTTAGTAGTATTTTGTAGAGTACTCACTATAGGTTAAAAAACTAGTAATTTGGTAAAGCATGCACAAAAGTGTAACGGTGAATAAAAACCACAACTGACAAATATATTGGTTAATATCCCAAACATGTATTACCAATGAACATGGCCTAGGATTTTTGTTTTTTATTGGTATTCACTTCAGTAACTTGAATCCACAGATATAAGCAGTATATAACCAGAGAGTTACAAGTAAACACAGATCATACATGCAAATTTCTGTTCACAAAGGTCACATGTGCAGGTACATGAGTTAGAAGCGTGCGTCTAGAATTATGGCCACACTTTTTAAAATGCAGAAATGTAAAATTACATCTTGAAAATATGAAGAGATGGTTCACACACTTCAAAAATCAAATGTTGCTTATACCAGAGATGTATGACAGCTATAGGATTCAAGTGACAAGCAGTAAGATCTTAAGAAATTAATACTGGTCAAAGAGAACGAGAGCATTTTTACACTTCACTGAAAGTACATTGACTACTGGAATACGAAACCTAGCAGGAACTCAGGGGGAAAAAAAATTACAAAATCTAAAGCCAATTACTTAATATTTCTTATTACTTAACTGCATAACATTAAAAGAAAACGGCACCTGCATTTGAACTGCCAATCTCACATGAATGACGTTCTCCAAAAATGAAATGCAACCAAAACAGCTTCAAACTCCAAATGAAAAGTCTGCAAGGCTCAGATTAAAATGTGGAATGTTTCACATGAAAGTAATAAAAATACAATTGGTTTTGTTCTTTATTGAATGGAATCAAAACTTGTTGACATTCCTTTGAAGCTTGGAACTACTAAATTTCATTTGTCTGAATGGTTCCTGTTATCTTTTTCTTAGTGGTGCAAGTTGTCTTAGTAGTAGCATACAGAGTCAGTCTCTACAAAGTACTTTTGTCTGTTGCCATTCTGATGAAACAAAACTTTTTCATTAACTTAACCATATGTGTATTTTTTGCTATAACACTTAACACATGAACAGACATCTATTATTTTTCCACTAAAACAAAAGAGTACAAGTTTTCTCCTAACTATCAGTATTATATTTAAAAAAGGTTAACATTAAAAACAAAGAACCATTGTTTTCTTTGAAATCAGTAAGCTTCTTGCACATCTTAAGCTTCCTTCTTCTGCCTGCGTTCTTCTGCCAATTTATTCAGAAATTTCTAAGGAAAAAAAAAAGAATTACAGGGATTGAGTAACCTAACAAGAAAAGCAACATATGCATTAATTGCCAAATAAAATATGCTATCCATATTGAGGGATCTCAATGTGACATGAACTACAACTTTATCCATTTAAAAAAAAAAATTAGTTAATTCTTAGAGGACCAAATTAAGTTGGCTCAGAGGACACCACAATAAGGCATGAAAAAAAAAAAAAAAAAAAGGTATATGTGAAGAATGGGAATTTCAATATGCAATTAACCCTAAATTTTAGACATGAGGAAACAGAGAACACGGTCACATAGAACTGGTGCTACATAGATAAGATTAGATCTTTGTTTTAACTATTCCTGCAATAAGCTAAAACAGCCATACACAAATACCTAAATGAATGGCTGTCATTCCAATAAAACTTCATTTGAAAAGCAGGCAGGTGAACCACTCATAAAAAAGTTCACTGACCCCTTGCTACCTTGTCTACAATTTTTAGACTCAAGATCTAATATGACACTAAAGTGAGTATAAATAACATTTGAAAAGGAAATTTATCAACTCTGGCTACTACAAATTGAGAGTTAAAAGCCATTATATATCCTTAAAAAGATTAAAAAAAAAAAAAAAAAAAGGACCAATTGAAGTATCTAATTATAAAGCATAATATTGTTCATCAAGTATGAAGCGCCTAGAGATCACCTTAACATTATTTCTACACTCTTCTAAGGCAATACATGTAGTTTTCTGATCCAAATAGCTTAAAAGCAATGCAGGTAAAATTCCCATTACTTGGGACTAGTAGGTGTAGTTTAGCGACAGAGTGCATGCAGGGATCCCTTGCACTGGGTGGTGTAAACATGAAATTCACTTATATTTCATATGTACATAATAGAGCCTGAAGGTAAGTATTTTTTTTTCAGTGCTACAAGTCAAACCTATCTCCTACATCATGCTAGTCAAATGGCCACTAACACAGCTCCAGCCCTTAAATATAATTTAATATTTTTAGCATACCATATACTGATTGCAATTTTTTACATGGTAACTGGTATGGAATTTTCTGTTTGTGGCACTCAAAAGTTTCATATTCTGGAGCACTTAGGATTTCCAAAAACCAAAATACTGAAAAACTGTCATCTACAATTATTTGTTCTTTGAAGTTTCCTCCCATTTTATCTACACCAATACTTAGACCTTAAAGAAATCATTAACTAAAAAAAAAAAATCTATTAAGAACTGCTGCCCTTTATTTATTTCTTTATAAGACAGTATTCTGTTATTCATAAAAATAAGTAAAGAGTATCATTATTAATAATTCATGTCACTGGACATAGTGGCTCACAGTTGTAATCCTAGCTATTGAGGAGATGGACATGGAGAGAATCATGATTCCAGGCAGGGTCCCATGAAAAGTTTGCAGGACCCCCATCTCAAGTGAGGATGGTGGCAAGTGCCTGTAACAGAAGGTATACAAATAGGAACCTGGTTTAGGCCATAGCATGGCCCTGATTTCAAAATCTCTGTACCATCAATTAAAAAAAAAAAAAAAAAAAAAAAAAAAAAGGTAACATCAACATAAAACTCATTGAATAGGAACCAGCCATGATGGTACACAGCTGTAATCTCAGTATACAGGAGGCGGAGTAAGGAGGATCTTTAGCTTGAGACCAGAATGAGCTACACAGTGAAACACTGTGTCCAAAAAAAAAAAACTAAAATAAAATTTAAAAAATAGGGTACAGCACTTGTAACTAGAGAAATTATCAAGAGTACTGGGGAAATTTTACGCTCATCACAGAATTTACAAAATGGCTAAATTATGATTATTTCACTAGAGTAAACTATTTTCATAGCCCATTAAATTGCTTAAAGCCATCAATTAAGAAAGAAAAATGTCTTCAGGATAAAGCACTGTGTTGGGTCCAGAGACTTACACACATTTTTACGTAGAGATCTCATTTATTTCCATAACTTTAGTAATTTGTTAGTTTTCACAAAAGAACTCTCCTCTTTTAGATTCAGCCTTACCTTTAATTTCTGATAATGAGGAAGGCTGCTGCAATGAGTATTCTTTGCAACTTCTTCATTTGTATAAAAGAGTGAACACAGCTTACAGTAAAACCCTGTTTTAGGTATCACATAGTCTATACCTAGAAATACAAACATACATTCTTACAAATTAAGTAAACTGAAGAGTTTATTTAGTAGTCTCAAATCTTTTTTCCTGTCAATACTATTTGAATCAAACAACATATTTGGGAGAAGTCCAATAAGGCCTAAGCTAAAAACAACAAAACCATAACATTACTAGTTTTCTTTGTACTGAACTTGATGTTCAAGGTCACACCTAACTACTCTTAAAATGAAAGACAGAAATATAACACAGAAACACGAAACAAAAAGCAATGTAATTTTTCAGAAACCTTTATGGTAAGAGAGAACACTGTGGAATGGTAACAAGATAATACAAATCAGGAGACATGTATAAGAAGAAAAGAGAAATACACCTGTTTTAACTTTACGAATTGTTCACCACAGGGGGAAGTTAATTTAACACTTCCCCTAACACTAATTTTTAAATCATTAAGTTTGTAGGGAGGGGAGGAGAAGAGGAAAGAACAAAGCCTTAAAGCTCACCAACAGGAACATTTGGCTGATACGGTCCAATTCTATACTCATCTGGGATGGTATAGTCCTCCTTGTTTTCATCACTTTGGCCATCTGCATTTTCACTTGTATCTTTGTTGGGATCATCAGAACTCTCAGCAGATTCAGCACCTGGTTCAGTATTTTCCTCATTTTTAATTCCATTTTCCAACGCTGCTTCGTTTTCTTGATCAAGTTCTTCGATCTTGTCCACCTTAATTTCAACCAAACCATCATCATTTTTGTCACCAGATTTAAATGCCATGCCTGATTTACGAAGTTTCTGAGGTTCCGAATCTTCCTCATCACCAACCTCATCTAGAGTGACAAAACCTTCCATACTCCCTGGGAAACGACGCTGTTAAGAAAGACAAATTTACTCTGCAACAATTATCCTGCAGCATCCCTTCCATTTGTTTTACTTTAAGGGAAGGGATAAGCGTCTGTATCTTTTTTTTTTTGGAGGCAGGGTCTCATTATGTAGCTTATGCTCGAGTTTGTGATCCTCCTGCCATAGCTTCCAGAGAGGTTGGATTATAGAAATGTACTATCACGCTCAGCATGTCTTTGTCTTTATTCACTCTCTCAAATACTTTTTTCTTTCTTTTCTAAAATCGCTCACTGTCTTTTTAAAACAATTTAGCTTGTTTTACATAATGGGGGTAGGGTTGTGGCTTACTGGTAGAGTTCCTGCTTGTTGTGCAACAATCCCAGATATCCAGCACCCAAAAAAACAAAGAACCAGAAACCAAAAACTATACCCAAACCTAAAATCCACCAAATATAAGGCCTGCCTCACACAAGCAAAGGAAAATAATTTATGTATGTATTCTACACATTCTTAGACAATTATGCTACTAAGAAATGTATCAAGGAACTGATTTGATGAAAATAGTTGAGTAATGTTACTTTTAAGACAGTACCTAAACTTTTTCTACACACTTGTTCAGAAAAAAAAAAAATTCATCTATGCTTTAGAAACTTCCCACGTTTTATCTGAACACTTTATCCTATCCAAAGCCACAATACATAAAATAGCAATACTGGCCTCTTCTCACACTGTTAACTACCACTTTCTAGAAGAGCTCCTACTTCTTCTTCTACAAGTAGCTGTTCTTCTGTCTGAAATAGTATAACTAACTGTTAAACAATTGAGCTGTGGAGCATGACAGCCTAAGTTTAAACTTTAGCACTGATGACTTAGGACAAGTTATTGAAATTCTCCATGTTTCAATTTCCCAATTTATGGAATAGTATTAACAATTATACCTACTTCACATGGTTATTGTAAAGATTAAAGAGCTTAGAAAAATTCATGGCATGCACTAGTACTAATAGTCATTAGCTCTTATAAGGGTAAACTTACACAACCATCCGTTTCCAGTCAGAAAACTAAGGTAAAGTTACGTGACCAGGCCACCAAAACCTAGTATTAGAAGAAACCATTTCAATGTCCTAATACTTAAGCTAGGTAACATAAGGTTTTTTTAATTGTTCTTTTTATTACATATACAATCTTACATTTATATCACCTTGTATTAAACTTATTTTCCTTTTTATCCCCTTCTTTGTGGTGCTAGGGATGATAGGGATGAACCCAGAGCCTTGTACATGTCAGGCAAGTACTCTCACTGAGCTGCCTCTTCAGTCCAGAAACTTATGTTCTAACGAATTATTTTAAAAGCTCTTAAGTTGTCTCAACTTCCATTTCTCAAACAGAAAAAAAAAAATAAATAAATAAATAAATTCAAATTCAGCAAGCTTTAAATGAAGGGGGAAATGTTTTAAGTACCAGGCAGTTAACCTATGGCAAACACATACCCCTATCTGGTTTTGTATTTGAGTTAGTGGCCTCAGATTCTGAAGAGGTGGGATTAAAGCGATACGCAACCATGCAGCCCACCCCATCTTTCTAAATCAAGCTGTTCAATAAGGGTGCCCTACTTGGTCACATATACTACCACTACAATACAGAAGCATCCCTAATTCAAATCTGTTTTCTATAACTTAAATTTCTTTGCAAGTTGACCTTTTTTTTTTTTTGTAACTGTAATGATATGTGATATGTTCTATTTAATCTAATTATTGCAGAGTTTGGATTTAAAGAATCATAGCTTATTTTTTTCTGTTATAAATAATTCTCATTTGACCCTGCTATGATGGAAATAAATCTGAAAAATTAATCTGAACTAGAGTAATGTTAAAACGAGTATATATAAAGCTTTTTTTTTTTACCTTTTTAAGTTTTTTCTTCGCTGCTGCTGAAGCACTCGCATTTGCATCTTTTTTCACAGCTTTATCTGAAGGCTCCTTTTTCCCATCAGAAGCCACGTCACCTAAATTAGCAAGGTCGGTCTCATCTCCCACTGAACTGCCACTTTCTAGAAGAGCTGCTGCTTCTTCTTCATCTACAAGTAGCTCATCTTCAGATTCAAGAAGCATATTAGGTTCTTGTTCTGTTTGGTCATCCTTTGTATCTTTCTCACCATCTTCACCTGATTTCTCTTCTTGCTCTTTACCTTCAGTTGTACTTTCAGCCTTCTGGGAACCATCAGTTTTTGATTTCTTATCACTTGGAGATTCTTTGCCATCTGGAGAATAAGATCTTTTTCTGAAATAAAATTTCACACAATTATTTTTTCTGGGTTAGAAAATTTAATATTCTTGGCAGTACTGGGTTTGAACTCAACACTTGCTACACAAGCACTCTACCACTTGAGCCACATTCCCATCCCATAAAAATGTAATATACAGCTGGGCACAGGTGGCTCATGCCTGTAATCCTAGCTATTCAGGAGACAGAGATCAGGAGGATCACAGTTCAAAGCCAGCCTCAGCAAATAGTTCTCAAGGCTTTATTTCAAAAAACTATCACAAAAAATTGGGCTGGTGGAGTGGCTCAAGGTGAAGGCCCTGAGTTTAAGCCACAGAACTGCAGAGAGGCAGAGAGAGAGAGAGAGAGAGAGAAAGAGAAAGTAATATACAATGCACATAAATACATGTAAAATCAAATTACCGGGATTTATCTTTTTTCAGTAAGTCAATGCCTCTGTTGGGAATCTAAAAGACAAACATTTTACAGAAGTTAAATACACTAACTTGAAGAATATATAATAATCCAGTGATGGTTCCTTATATAATAAACTCATCTCATTCAATCCTGTAACCATATACAAGACAAACTACCTACAGTCAGAAATTCTTCAAAAATCACCAAACGAACAGAGATATGGTTAATAAAATAGTTTGGCAACAAAATTATTCAAATGAAGTTTTCATTGGATAAAAGCTATGAAGATGATCTTTATAAAACATCAAAAAACTTCTATTAGAAGACCAGAAAAAAAGGTTCTCTTTCAATAACCAAATATTTTATTGTCAGCATATAAAAAATTTAACTCTCGAGAATGTTATGGCTTCTGTCAAGCTTGCAGTATGCACCTGCGGTCTTACCTACTTGAGATGCTGAGCAAAAGGGTTACTGAGCACAGGAGCTTGGGACCACACTGGGTAATATAGTAAGGCCCTGTCAATGCTTTTTAATGGTAACAAACCAAGTACTACATACCCTCAGTACCAGTTTTTTATATTTTTCAGACAGGTCAACCTTAACACATCTCCCCTGAAACCAAAGTGCTTTTTTCAAACAATGGTCAACCATTGCCATAGCATCTTCTCTGGTCTCCATCTCAATAAAGGCCTACAAAAAAAACAAAAAACACACAAAAAGCATTATTTTTCATATAAATTATTAAATTTAATTTTTAGCACAGCAAGTTAAAAAAAAAAATCACAAAAAAATTTTACAAATTCCTCAAAAACCACTAAGCACCAATTATTATTACCACCTACTTGCAGTCTTTCTGCTAAAAAAGCAGTAAGCTCAGAAGATACTAATTTAAATACTATAAGAAAAATAAGTTTGAAAGGATACAAACTCAGAATACTGAGTTAAAAAACAATTTTTATATAAAGGAAAAAAAAGAAATGAGAGAGACAGAGAGAAAAGATGTTCTCTTCACTGTTTTTGGGTGCTGAGCACTGAACCCTGGACCCCTACCACCAAGCTACACTGCCCAGTCCTCTGGATTCCTTAAGTAGAAACAGAAGTATAAAACAACTTAATGTGACCATTGAACTTTGATTTTTGAATAGTCTAATGTCTTATGTCTACAGAATACTCTCAATCAATGCTGCTGTGGTTATAAAAGTGGCCATACTTGCTAAAGCTCAATCTGGCAACATTAAAACAAGAAAGCAAGTATCAGGACCCAGAATTTCAATTGTGACATTGTTCCTTCAACTATATGCACTTAAAATATGCAAAAACTAAAAGGCTGCAAGGTCCCTAGAGGACTAAGGATACAACTACAAAAAAGACAACTAAATATCCAGCAACCCACAATGATGATAGGTACATAATCATGTAGAATGCCAGTTAAAAATTCTTAAAAGAACACCTATTATTTGCATAGGAAGATCTCATGAAACAAGCCTTAGAAATAAAACTTTACTAGCACTTTTCATAATTTATTCAATGTTTCACTGAGCATCTACCATGACTTAAAAAAATTTTTTTTCTTATGGTGCTGAGGACTTAATAGTCACTGAGCTATACTCCTAATCAACTCAACTATCTTAAAGTACTTTGAGAAATTATCTTTTTAAAAACCTCTATATGTATTACCTGACTTTTCATCCTCATCAAAATATAATTCTTTATTTTCCCATAAGGTTCAGCAAGCTTGAGAACAGCACTGTCAGAATACCCAGAATGGGGTAAATTGCTGAGATGTATCACACGTCCAAGCTCTTGCTTTTGATCAAACTTCTGATCTGGCTTTCCTTCAGGTTTCTTGAAATGGAATAGGGTAGGAGGGAGATTAAGGGGGCAGGAAAGAGAAAGGGAAGTTTAATGTTGGTAGGTATGCTATAGTTATCAGTCAATAGTTAAGAATAGCCTAGTTCTTAAACAGACAAAATTAACAAATACTAAAATAGTTTACTAAACTAATTACATATAACTTGGAAGAAAAGAAAAAAAACAAACAAAAGGATACTACCTTTATTCTTTTATACTTCTGGGATAAATGAACTCTCACTGGCTTGCCAAATACTAATGCTGGTGTGGTTGTATAATAATCCACTGCAGCCTGAGCATCTTCTGTGGTTGCCATTTCAATAAATGCCTGAAATTATGCAAAAAGAAATTTCTAAAAATATCATGCCCAATCTTTCTAAATATTTTTTAAAAAACAGTGATCCCAATATTCTACTTTATTAAAAGGTACCTCAAATTATATCTATACTACTGAGCTATCATTCATTATGCCTAATGGGTTGAAAAAAATGACTATCTATCATTGTCACAGATGTGAGATGATGTTTCAGAATTTTCCTTTTACAGCCCGGATAGTAGTAACAGTAGTAATATTAATAAAGGTTTAATCATAAGTAACAATTGTGGCAATTACTAAAGATCACAAATCATAGTTACAAATAATCCATGAGTATTACTTATTTTTCTAAGTTAGAAAAATTTTATTTTTCTAAATTAGTGATTAAATATTACAATTCTTGAATCCAAATCCACTTAATTCTTTTAGGAAATATATTAGCAGTATAAGTAATATGCTTATTCCAACTCATACCTCATTGATTTTATTTAGAATCAGATGATTTGAAATGACACCAAATGGTTCGACCAGCTGCAACAGTTGGTATCTCAAGTTTTTTCCTCGTTGAAAATCCATGATGTGAACAACTCGACTAGTTTCCTACCCATGAAGAAAAACATCCAAGTCAATTAAAGTTTCTTTAAAAGCAATATGAAGGGGCTAGGAGTGTATTTCAGTGGCTGAGTATGTGCTTAACATATGATAAGCAGGAGGCCTTGATTTAATCTTTGGCACTAAAAGAAATAAAACTAAACATAAAACACATTATTTATTAGAATTTCTTGTACTCTATAATAAACCAGAAAAAAAATGTTCTACTATCTCCCAAAATATCCAAAAGATACCTATCTCTGTTCTGACTTTTTAATTGAATACTATGCATCTAACAGAACAGCAAAGTTCCTAAGATGATGAATCAGGGTGAGATCTCTAGATTATAGGCACATAAAAATTCAAGTGTTAACTATCACCAAAATTATGTAAGTCTAATTGGTTTTTAAACTGTAACATTTCTTCCTGTCACAGGACTGTGATACAGATTCAATTAGTAAGCATTCAAATTAAATCACATTCTCAAGTTAGTAAATACAATAAATGCAATAGCTATTATTACTGACCACTCTGCCTTTCTGCATGTGTCTTGGTCCCTGCAGGTTTCCGTTTCCAGCACCTTTATGAGGGAAAAAGTACATTTTTTTTTCCAGATTTAAAATATTCTTACTATAAAACAACTTATTTTAATTAAAAAACTGTACATCTTCCAAAGGCAAATGAAGGGCTGGAGGCATGGCTCAAGCAATAGAGCACCTGCCCGGGAAATGCAAATCCTTGAATTAAACCCCAGTACTGTGAAAAAAGGTATTGTAAATATAATTGTCTTTTCATGCTGTATTATTTTTGGACAGCATTTGAATAAGTATCCTTATCAGTATAATTACACTGAATTTTTTTTTTTGATAAAAGGTATTAACAAAAGGCAACAGGAGTTTCATATAATCACCCAAATTTCCTCTTGGTCCAACTGCTGGTCCCCCAAGATGAAATGAGGGAGGTGGAGGTCCCAGAATTCCTGGTGCTGGATTTGTAGACTGCTGCAACATGAATGGATCACCCCTAGTAATGTGAAGAAATAAAATATAAAGCACACACACACACACACAAAAGAAATCAGAACCAAGATCTTGTGTTGAAGTACCCACTGTAAGACTATGATAACTTCAATATTTGGGGGCATTTATATGTTAGTTAAAAATTTCTTAAACTACAGAGATTCTTACCAAACTCACATTTGGTAACAAATATTGATGAAATATAGAAGTTAAACCTGGATTCCTTACATTGATCTCCTTTACAAACAATAGTTTAAAATTTTTTAACTTACATTGTGTGTCCTGTATCATTGTCAGGATTCCATTCTGGGTAGCTTTAAAAAGACCAGAAAATTAACTTTACAATAAAACTGTCGTTTTCACAAAGTAGCCTCATTTGGTCTCTAAAATAGAGATCATTTCTTAGTAAGTTATCTGAGAGTCTAAGTGTGAGAAATACTAGTTTTAAAGCTTATTTCAAAAGAAAAATTTCAGAACTTCAAAATATTCCATCTAAATGAGAATAAACTTGGTCTGTAGTGCTTGCAAATATAGGCGATGGATGTTGAAACTGAAATTTTCCTATATTTGCTAAATTATAAGGAGAAAAAGTGTTGTAGAAGGAATTAGCAATGTTGGTTATATAGAGAAATAAGAAGTCCACAAGTTTACTTCCCCAATATTAATTATCAATAGCAGAGTTAAGTTGTGACACTAGAAAGGACAGCCACAACAAAGTTTATGAATTCCATCTCAATGTAGCAGCCTAAACACAAAAACAAAGGTATCTCAAAAGCAAAAATACATCATAAGGGATTTTGCTGGACAGAGACTTTTAATTACCCCTCCACATCTTCTATGTTTTAGAGCATGTACTATTAAAATTGCAGTTATTAGTCTATTTTACATATCAAAAACTGTCATTAAGTCTATCAAATGTCTATTTAAAAGGGCAATGTGTTTATTTATCCTAGAAATAAAATCAAATAATTACCATTATTTTTGCACCTATTATTCAATGTAAGATTACAGATCTAGACATGTTAGCTATAATTAGTACTCTAGACATTATCAACTATGTGATATAGCACTGTGGATATTACAAGTAAATGATGAGCGCCCCCAAACCAGTAACAGCTGTATCTGATTCACGATAAGAATGCTTTAAAGGTATTTCAAACTCCTACATTTCAAGAAGAAGCTGGCATCGGCGACTGTGACTTGCTCCATTGATATGTTGACTCCACTCCTGCAGCAAAGTAAATTAGTAAAATTAACAAAAATAAAACCAATGTATTTTCATCTGAACCAAAGTTTAGGACATTAATGTCTATGTAGTAGCACAGGCTGTACAAACACTTGCCGATTCAGTAAATCACAATAATTTAATTTAAAACTATTTTAGTTCTTGAAGCTTGATCCTGCCCTCAAATACGCTATGCACATTCTTGGAAAAACTGGATTAACTCGGTCAACATGCTAAGAGATCTAACAGGGAAAAGATACAGAGTTAAATAAAGATCAAGAATAGTAACTGACCTTGAGACCAGTTCAACATGTTAACTTCTGCTGTGGATTAAACTTAAGCATCCACTATGTATTAGAACTACTATTTTATAACACTCTAAATGATAAAGTATTCATATGTCTACTTTTTCTAGAAAATGTGTGAAAATTATTAGTTGAGGCATGCTCCAAGTATACTACCTACAAAACATATAGTGAGAATTATACCATAATCAACATTGTCAAAAAGCTAACATAATTTAACAGGAATGACTTATCTAGAAAATGCTCCCCATTTATCAAAAAATTAAATTTCCCTACTTTCCAAAAAACAATGCCTGCTTCCAAAAAATTTTTTTTGTTGTAGGACTGGGGTTTGAACTCAGGGTTACTGTGAAGCTATTAGTGTGAGTCACATCTCTAGTCCATTTTGCTCCAGTTATTTTGGACATGGGGTCTTGTGAACTATTTGCCTGGGCTGCTCTTAAACCATGAGACTCCTGACCTCAGCCTCCCAAATAGTTAGGATTACTGGCACTCGGCTATGTTTGCAAATTTTGAGGGAAACATTCTATTCCACCAATATTTGCTCCTTTGTGGCTAATCTTAAATTTGAAGGAATTGACTAAATTCCGTATTTTATTCAAATAAATTTCATTTAATTTTTTTGGCAATACTAGGGTTCAAACTTAGGATCTCATGCTTGTTAGGCAGATGCTCTACCAATTGAGCCACTCTGCCAGCCCCCCAATTTTCCCTTCTTTAGGGAAAAAAAATCCACATTAAAAAAATAACTTTTCAGTCAATATAAGAAAAAGGAAAAGTGAACTGTGCTGCCAAGCTGCATCCATTCTCAGTTACTTAAATTCATGTGACAATATATTTTTTTGGGGGGGGGGTTGACTAGGTTTTTGAACCCAGGGCTTCCTGCTTGCAGAGCAAGCACTCTAACATTTGAGCCACACCTCTAGTCCATTTTGGTCCAGTTACTTTGGAGATGAGGGGGAGGGAGTGTCTCACGAACTACTTATCCAGGCTGGCCTCTAACTCAGATGCTCCCAATCTCAGCCCCCGCAAGTAGCTAGCATTTCAGGCGAGAGTCACTAGCACTGGGCTTCTCATGGGTTTTGAAAAGCAAATGAATCAAATAAAGTAAACTGCTTAGCAAAACACTATCAGCCACATGGGTAAGTGCTCCAAAAAATTAAAGAAAGTGAACTATCTGAACTATCATATTACTTATAAATCCATCTTGTTTTTTACAATTTATTTTACATGTACTATTGATGCTTCACAAGTTCCTACAAATTGAGGCTATTTCTGGAATATCCAACTAATCTTAATTATTACTGTAATATAAATATAGCCAGGCAATGTGTTTTTCTCAACAGGAGGGAGGGAGAAAAATATAGCATTAAATTACAAGTTGTATCTTTCTGAAAAGTCTCAGAATAGTATTTTATAAATGGGATCCTAATTTCTACAACTTGATTTGTTACAAGTTTACATATTGTCCTATGCCCTAACATAATTAAGTAAAACCTTGTGAAAGAACTAAGACGGGACATATCCAAGCAAAATGGTACTTATTTAGAATGTGGTGAGCTATCAACTACTATTTCTACATCTCTCAAAATGGCTAAGAGGAACTTAAAAACAGATTTCGTAGTTGGCCCTACAATCAGATATTTGGGATATGCAATAAAGTTTCTACCTGCAAAGCAACAGATCACTGACTTATTAGAGGCTACTTTTTAAATGGCTATAAGCAAGAGGTATCAAAGTTAAAATTCACAAAATTCAAAAGCCGGATTAAACAAATATCTTAGAATTTTCTGAACTAAAAATCTTCAGATTTTATCTAAAATATCCTCAAGAAGTAACATTTTAGAAGAATAAATGTCATCTCATTAAGCATGCTTCTAATTTATAGGAGATGGAAAAGATATAGCTGAATGGAAATTATTTCTAACCCTCCATGTTCTTTAAAGGTTCAAACTTATGGTAAAAGTATGGCTGGTTCTTTCAAAGTGCTAGAAAGAAAAAGACCAGAAAATCATCATTTACCCTCCCAAACCACCCATTAGTAATCTACACTACTGTACCAGATCTCTTGCTGTTTGGTTTAAGTTAAGGACTAAGAGTCAAGGTTTTTTGTTTTTGTTTTTTTGATAGATATATATATTAAAAAAAAAAAAAAAAAAAAAAAAAACCTTTACCTCTGGATTCTACATTGAGGTAATTCTTACATGAGATCAATGAAGAATAGGCTTGACATTTTGAATTCAGAAGTTTCTGAGGGAAACTACTCACCTTGATGTCTTTGATATATCTTAAGTTATATAAAGATTAATTTGGGGAGTACTTCCAGAATGGCAGAATACACTATAATTTAAGGGCTTCTAAAGTAATACCATAAGGAAAAATAGGAATTCAAGTGACAAGACAGCAGAAGAGCTGCAGTGGGCAATTTTCTTTAAGATTGTATAGAAACACTACTTGATGTTCTAAAATGACCTAGAAAGAAATAAAAGCAAGATCATCATCTAAAGTCACCCAAAACTATAAAACAATAAGGATACTCCAAAGTAACAAATTAGATGTTTTCCACCTAAATTTCTTATTTCATAGTAAGAACTTTTGCCCACATAGATTGCTACTAAACAAGACCACTAATTGAAAGTAACAGATTTTCCAAGTTATGCAGCAATACCAGAGAGCAGGATTAAATGTTTAAAATTTTTTCATTATATACTTCTACCACAGGAATTTTCTTTAAAGTCATTTATATGTCGGTTATAAAATAAAGGGCCCGCTGCTTAAGTAAGTACTTAATTACTTTTTCAGTGATACTGATACACAGAGAACATCAGCTATCAAGGTAACTGGAAAACATCAAGAGAATTCATGTGTTTAAACCTTTTAAAACTGGTCCAACCTATAAAAACTTTGTAAATCAAACAATTAAGCAAAAGGCCTCAAAAGTATTTCTTAAATATATCTAGTATTTTGACAGCATGCTCAAACTAGCTAGAACTGAGCCACTTTCACAGGCCAAAAAGTACCTCTTGACTAGTGTAGAAGGTATCTTACTCTTGAACCCAGAGTTTCGTAAAATATCTGAAGCTGCTCTTTTATTAATTTAGATCTATTTAAATTACTAGCCCTTTTATAGGAACTAGAACGTAGCAAAATTTAGAGAGAAAAGAATAATCATATAGAAAACCAGAAACGTTATCTGATAGGTCCTCTCATGGTTCCCTCTGTGTTCTTTTGTGTTGCCCCAACAGCTTTATGACTCCAGTAGCAAGGATTTCAAGCCACTTCAGATCACTTTCATTCAAGACTCTGTTAACTATTTTCCTTAGAATTTGGAGATCTTTTCTGAGACTACTGATCATGCCACTTCTGGCTATGTGTAAACAGGAAAAGAAGTAACAGAAAACTTTGGAGTCAAAGTTTAATGGGCTTTTCATCACATTAATTTGCACCACACCTAAAAACTGAAGTTTAGTACAGAACAAAAACTAAAATAAATTCCATGATGTATTTAGCATATCCAAAATTATCTGAGAAAAGATAACACTAAAAAGACCTATAAAATAAAATATGCTGACTTTTATGAGTTTGGGGTTCTAACTTTCATGAAACTAAATCTATGAACCTAAACTTAGCATTAATTTTATTTGATATGGAATAAAGATTAAAAGACAAAAATACTGATATACAAACATAGGAAAGGGAGTGATTGGTAATACTCTTTAACAGATATTAAAAACAAAATCACTAACGGTACGATTTACTCTACTCAAAAAACAATACTCAGTTAAAAAAAATGAATTTAAAAGGAATTGATATGAAAAGAAAATGACCCTTCCAGATGTTACTGTAAAGAAAAACCCTGTAACAGTAAACATCAAGTCAATTTCATGGCAGCAACTTACTCCAGTTAAGTAGCTTACTATAAAGCACATTAGGAAAAATGGATGGTCACAGATATAGTTCAAGCTAGTGGGGTGCTATAATTGTTGACTTTAAGTCAATTCCAATATATACTGAAAAAGAAAAAAAAAAACTCAGTGAGAATGAGTAACACTGTAAAAGTTGAAAGAGAAAGGATAACATACTTAAAAGGGCATTTTGAAAAAGTTCCCATTTTGCCAGATGTGACAATTATGGTAAAGGAGAATTAGATTTTTTTTCAAATGACTATACTAGAAGTCTAATAAGCCTAAGTCAGAAAAAGAATTTGATTATGAGGAACACAGAGCAGGATACTGCAGTAATTGATTTATCAAAGTCTCTAAAGGGACAGATGCAATATGGGATAATAAAAAGTGAGCTTTGAAGTATGTTTAAGAAAGCTGTGGAAAAGGAGAAAAAAAATGATGAAAAATTTCATAGTATGAGAGTTTGTGTTAAAGGGAAATTAAAAAAGGAAGAATGAACTAACCTAAAATATGAAACATACTGAAACAAACACCAGGGCTCTACATTAACTCTTTCCCTGTAGCCACAGATAAGGAAAAAAAGAGAATTGTTCAAGACTACATCTTTACTACATACAAATCAGCAATCAAGACAGATGGAGAGCTGAAATCTAGCATCCTAAATGGCAGAGCACATTGACTGTGGGGGGGAGGGGAGGAGAAAAATGCTTAAAACAATTCAACAAAGCAGACAAAAAAAAAAAAAAAAAAAAAAACAAAATAAAACAAAACAAAAAAAAACCAAACCTGCTTAAATATATGATTAAGAGGAACATATTGATGCCAAAAACCAACAAGATAATCCCAGCAGATGACAGCATTGTGGCCAGAAGTAATCTAGGCAGATTGTATTAATGTAAAGCCCTGGTTTAAAACGCTCAAACACAATTACCTTCCAAATAAAGTGTTCTCAAAAGTATAAAAATTCTTGATCAACTCAATGTCATCAGACTACAGAATTAGAGTAAAAGATATAGGTAAATACAGAATAGGCACTACAATGTAAAAGAAATTAGAAGCATCTGTTGCATTAACTCACCTTATTAGAATGAACTGGCAAATCACATATAGAGCACAGATGGGGATAACCCTTCGGTAAGAGTCCATGGAAGTCTTCAATATTGCTACTTGGAGGAGCGCCCCTCTTTTTCTCAAAGAGAGATCTCTCTTGTAAGGGGCCAGGACCACGTCCCATTCTCTCATACTCACTGTCAAATTTATGATAGTTATGCGAGGTCTCACCAAAAAAGGAATCATCCCTACACCTTTCTCCATCTCTTAATCTGTCATCTTCATAATCCATTCTGTCATAATAACCAGATTCTTGAGAACGACTTCCATGGTCATAATCAAGCACTGGGTTGAGACTAGGACCACGATCATCAAAGCTATCTCTTCTAAAGTGCCTTTTTTCTTCCCAATCATCCCTAGGTACTCTGTATGGTGGCTCCCGTGTAGCAGATCTGCCATCTCTACCATAACTCAATGTAGGGCCTTCTTCAGTTCTCCTCCTTTTAAGCTGTAGAAGGATTTGGGGCAAATTCTCAGGAGTAATCTTGTCCTCTGGATAACGACTCAGTTCATCTAAGTCTCTAGCAGACAGACCAAAGCTGGCCAAAATGTTACTGGCCTGGTCTGTATCTCCACGGTGTTGAGAAGACAAAGGGAGTGGACCTCTACTTCCAATGTTAAATATAGACTGCAAATTATGGGAAGAAGTACTAGCAGAAGACAGTGCACTATGAGCTCCTTGTTGATTCAATGAAGAACTCATTCCAAGATTCATTAAACTAGCAAGGCGTGCAGTACCCTGGTTCATCCTTCCAAGAGATGCTGGCATACTTAAAGACTGGGTAGCAGCAGCAAGAAGGCCTATTCCTGCTGCAGACAGGTCACGCCCATGACCCTGTGAGTCCCTACCGAGAGATGACTGCTGGAATGACTTGGACATTGTAGAACTATCTCTTGTCTATTTTATAGATTGAAAAAAAAATGTTTTTAAAAGACGGCCAAAAAGAAAGCTGAACTAGAAAGCTAGGTTAACTTTGCTTCAAAAAATGGTAACGCCAAGAAAAAGGATCAATAAGGACTGTAGAATCTTCTTCAAGCTGAGAACCAGCAGACAACTCTGTAGAAAAATAAGCAATTTTAGTCATAAATCCCTTTAAGTAGATGCCGTTTTTTTAAGAAAAAAAAACTTACGCATCATGTTGATAAAAAAACATTAAGATCTCAAACTTACAAGGAATTTATTACATGTTAAACAGATTCCAGATGTATGCAGAGTCTGCATATAGATAGTTAAAAAGTAGCTTGTCATTCTAAAATTTAACTATTAAAGGGAATTTCATACTGAGTTTAAAAACATTTAATTCAAGGGCTAGATGTCTGAGCACATCAAAATTTCAGTGAAAACATAGATGGGCTTCTTCTTTTAGAAGGATAAAAATACACCCTAAAGTGTGATGCTTAAGTCCCAGGAGAAGACTTTAAAAAACAAAAACACCAAGGTCAGCAGCAAGTCAAAGATGAAATCAGTTGTATTCTGCTTTGGAAAAATGAGATCTATTATATCACTATCAGCAAGAACCAAGTAAAACCAAAGTAAATGAAGCCTGGGGTAAGGGAGAGGGTCAAGTACCTGATGTAAGATCTAAGACCAAATAATAGCTAAGAACTTCATGCAGCAAAATCAATTTGAGGTGAAGACAGATGTGAATAAGAAAAATACAGTTTTAAAGATTTCTGCCCAAATTTAAGCCATACAATGAACTGCCTTCTTACTAACTATCCTACATCAGGCAGTGCTTGTTTCACATCTACTCTTATAAAAGAGAACCAATTCTGGTCAGTACAGAAACAGGAGACCTTCCAAGAAAAAAACCAGGTACAGGAAATATAGGTGATTTAAAGAAGGGAAACACCAAGTTAGCACCCATCAGTTCTCATTTAATGTTCAGGGATATATAGCACCTCTAGCGCTCAAAACATGTAAAAATGAAAAAAAAAAAAAAGATCTTGGTAACAAGATTTCTTCAAACTTTTCACAAGAATAACCCAATCACCTGAAAATTTTAAATTCTGATTATGATCCTCCAAGATGTATTTCTAGATGACATTTTCTTTCTTAAATCATTATTGTATCTCAAAAATGTATAAGGATATGTAAATCACTTACACGATTCTCATAAAATGTAAGTTAAATGTATTCAGTGAAACAATTTTATAATCACAACCACATACAGAGGTAAGTGTGATGCTATTAGCTACAGAATTCTATTATGAGGCATTGCTTATTAAGTTTTATGTTTGATTACCCACACATCCAAGAACTAGCAGTATAGAGTTAAACTTTATTACACTAAAAACCAGACAAAATCCAAGTTACAAGTCATTATTATGGGACCAATTCCATCAATGATAGATTAAAGCAAGGATATACTGGACGAACACAGTGGCAGAGGGAAGTATAAAAAAAGTTACAGGCAAGAAAGATTTAGACTAGATTTTATAAAATAGATGTCATATAAAGTTATAAAGACACAGAAACTATCAGAGGTGGCTGGAACTACAGATGTTTTTGCACACCAAGAAAGATGAATTTGTGAAAAGACACCAAGGAAACTAGTTCTAGACAAGATCCACTTAAGGTAAACTATAAGCTTTACCTTTAAGACTAATAAAGATAAGAGTTAGTGAACTTCAGATGAAAGTTTCTTTGGTTATGTCTTAAAAATGTCACACAGAACATTGGTATTGGTAGGACCCACTAAATTTTCATGTATACTTAAAAAAAAATCAACAGTTATAGAGTCATTTTCCAAATATGTTCATAAGCACGAGTTATTACTAATTGTAGCTTTGACTTTCATATTATACCAAAGCTTTTTATTATTCAAAAACCAGTCTTTTAAAAGAACTATTCTTTCCCCACAGAGAAATTATAATGACATTTGATTCTGTATAAAAAATTTAGTTATTTTAAGGAAAGATTGTTAAGCTACAAGTTGTCAATCTCATTTTGGCACTTTATATGAAAACAGTGGATCTGGAAAAGAGAAGGTAAAAGATGACAATCTTAAGACAAAACAGAAAATGGATGTCAGAAAAGGCGCAAGACAAACAACATAAATCCCATGACAATGTGTAAATCACCTTAATTTTTTTAAGATACTCTGAGTTTCAACTTAAAACGCAGTTCCATATAACATTAGAGTAGTATTACTGAAAAGGAACTTAACTTGGATTTTTGATTGAAACACAAACCAAGTTCTCAAAATATTTTTATTAGAACAAAGAAATTAAGAGAAATCAAGACATGACAGCACTGCTTAGAAAGTATTTATGAAAACAGACTTCTAGTATTTTGGTCAATGCTGAACGTAAGATGTACAAGCCATTTTTAAGGGCTCATTCACATGGGACTTGCTGCTCATTACTAAAGTTAGCACAATAGAGATATTTACTAAACTACTAATGATATATGAAAGATTAATTTTTTCCCTTTTGGAAACAGTATCTCAAAATGTAGCCCAGAGTGGCCTTGAACTCAGATCCTCCAGTGCTAGGATTACAGTCATGTACCACCATTTCGACATTAATAGATTAGCTTTTCAAAGCCCTGACTTCAATCCCCCAGCTAAACCACACACACAAAAAGACTAGCTTTTAAAACCGTTTTCCCCTGTAATTATAAAACTGTCTCACCAAGAGAATTTAAGAATGTAATGTCAAATTCTGATTTACTTATGAATTATAAAAATGTCCAGTAATATAGAACCTTTTACCTCCACCCTCAAAACCAGGAAACTTAAATGTCACTTCATAAACACTGGGAGGAGGGTAGTTCAGTGGTAGAATATTTGTCTAGGCATCTGTGAGGCCCTGAGTTTGAAAGCCAGTATCACAATAAATAAATGAAATGCATTTTACCATAATATGACAATCAAATTCTTAACAAATGGTCTTAAAATTCATCTTTACAGAAAACTTCAAATAATTAACCTGCAAATTTTTTTTTGGTTTTTTTGGCCATACTTGGGCTGGAACTCAGGGCCTACATCTTGAGCCACTCCACCAACCCTTTTTTTTGTGTGATGGATTTTTTTTTCAGATATGGTCTTAAGAACTATTTGCCCCGGCTGGCTTCCAACCATGATCCTCCTGATCTCTGTCTCCCGAGTAACTAGGATTATGGATTACAGGTGTGGGCCACCAGCACCCAGTTTATTAACTTGGAATTTAAATCTATTTCATGATACAACTTTCTCAATTATCCTAAAAACAATGTAAGCTTCATGTTCAACATATAAACAAGTATTATCCCTATGCATGGTAGAGAAATGTTTCAGTTAAACTGGGCTAAGCTGGGAATGGTCATGCCTACCTGTAATCCCAATACTCTATAGAGGCTGAGGTAGGAGTCTTGTGAATTGGTCAGCCTATGCTATATAGGAAGACCTTGGCTCAAAAAAACAAACCAAAAAAACCTAAAGAAATGTTTCAGTTAATATTCTACTTCTAATTCCATGATTATCTGATATTCTTCATTAGATTTTCTTTCTTTTCCAATTAAAAGTAGAATATGTCAGAAAGTATATTAAAATGCTGCTTTAAAGACATATGCCATATGAACCTTAATTGCATTCTTAATTACATGAAATACTTTTTTTGGGTAGGATTGGGGCTTGAACTTAGGGCTTCGTACTTGCAAAGCAGGTGCCCGACTGCTTAAGTCAAACCTCCAGTCCATTTTTGCTCTGATTATTTTGGAGATGGGGGTCTCTTTAACTATTTGCTTGGTCTGGCCTTTAACTGTCATCTTCCAGATCTCAGCTTCTCAAGTAGCAAGGTTAATAGGAACGAGTCATCAGCACCAGTTTTACTTCTTAACTAATTTCAGGCTGGAGGTGTGGCTCAAGTGGTTGAGCACCTCCCTAACAAGCATTAAGCCCTGTGCTCAAACCCTACTACTGCCAAAAAATGAAACCAATTTCAAGATGATTTAACTACAAAAAACCACAGATTCATACAAGATGGTTTCTGGTTTTACCACAAAAGTGGGATACTCATGCAAAAATATCTTCATGTTGACATTATTTTAACCCTTCACTCTTATATAAAACTTACAAGCAATAGTTAGAGACATATAGCTTCTTATAGTATTTTCCTGTTCTGAATCATAAATATACACAAAAGTGCAATGACAGCAAGAAATACTCAAAATTTCCAAATGTTTTATCAAGGTTGAACACCTGGTTTATTAACTTATTTATGTGAAAACATAAAAAAAAGTTTAGGTAGCAACCAACAATATCAACATAGTAAAAAGATGTCATAACCAGTACCATTGGCAGATTGCAGGGACCGTTCATTGTCACTAATTTCAAATCAGTATAATTTAGAAAGGTTGCTGCTTGATTTTTTTGTCACCAATCACACAAAAATATTGATTCCTGAAGTGAAGATGGCTCCACTCCCTAACCCAGGGCCTCACTTACGCTGTTAAGCACCCTACCACTGAGCTATACCCCTAACCTTCAATATAGTTTATACCAATTAGTTTTATTTAAAACGGTTATCTGAGTTACTCATTGCTCCCCCTTCCCCCAGAATTTGAGCCACTTCAAAATCTTATATTCAATATCTATTATGTGTTCTTGAGTGCCATAATCTCAGTGTGACATTTTTGAGTAATTGAAGATTTTTTTTTGGGGGGGGGGAAGTAAAAGAGTTGAGACAGAGTCTTGCTATGTATCCCAGACTGGCCTTGAGAGGGCTTTTTTGTTTATTTAATGAACTTCTAAGCAATTTAAACAGTAAATCCCATACACATAAAGTCCCCAGATTTTTTCTGTTTTGTGTAAAGCTACATGTGTCATCACACAACAAAAAACAAACATTATTTAGTGCCAGGAAACAAGTATTAATATTTGTGTTTTAAAACTATTGGTCTTAATCCACCTAACAAACCTGGATTCAACTTCTAGTCCACTTCTCCATCCTTAGGCTAATAGGAGATAAGAGGGTTGCAGAGTGTTTTCAGCTGCTGAGAAGATAGAAAATTTCAAGTTAATCAGTAGAAGGAATTCTTACTCAGACTTGGAATATTCTTTTTTTTTCTTTTATTCGTATGAGACTTGGAATAGTCTTAAGATTTAAAACTTCCTCCTAGTGTCTTCCAATTAGCCACAAAATATTTTCAGATTAAGGCTACTCAGGAAACTGATTAAGGAAACCTATGGTACAAGATAGAAAGTTATCTATTTACCAGGACTGGCTCTTGACTTTAGCTATAGGATATAAAGTTGGTTTTCCTGAGCAGGGCAATGGTGTCTCACTCTCTGTAATCAATCCTAGCTATTTGGGATTGCAGTTCAAAACCAGACAGGCAAGTAGCTCAAAAAACAAAACAGACAAACAAAAAAACCACCAAAGTTAGCTTTTCTCAAAGCTGGATTCTACATTCTTAAAATCTGCCCCCCTCCCCACAATTTTCTACTCTCCTAGTTTTCACAAACGCCTTGATGTGAATCCTGGTTGGACTAAGAAGTAGCTGTGTAACCTTGAGCAATTTACTTAACACCTCTGTTTATTTCCCCACATGTAAAGCAGGAATAAAACACCTACTTCATAAGGCTGTAAAGATTTAATAATAAATAACACTATCACATAAAAATATTTAAAATAGTGTCTGGCCCATCCATAGTAGACACTGTGATAATCATCTATTTTTATGTAATTTAGTTCCCACAAAACTCAGACATAGGTAAAATTTTTATTTACTTTTTTAGATAAGCAAACCTTTACTGGAGTGGTTCAAGTGGTAGAGTGCCTTCGTTGCAAACATAAGGACCTGAGTTCAAACCCCAGTACCACCAAAAAAAAAAGGAAAAGAAAACCTTTACAGGTAAAAAGACTGATCCTGGGACACACAAACCATTCACTTGTGCTATATTCCTTATTTCATGTTTCAACTTTAAGATCCTATCCTCCAAAACAAACAGCATCAAAAAAAAAATCCTGATTTAAAAACTAGTAACTTTGAAAGACTGAATCAAGGAAAAGAAGCTGATCCCCGTGAAAGTGCAAAAATTACAACTTCATTCTCTATTGCCCATCTCATCCTTCAGAATGCAGCCCTTACCTCTATTCTTTCCGCCCTAATTCTATTCGATACCCTCAGCCCTCCTGCTTTTCAGTTGGCTTCCATGCATCCATGCTCACAGCTCATCACCAAATATCAACCTGAAACATCATTTTATTCTCCTGCTCAAAAACCCACTCCTCCCCTAGAAGTTAACATGTAAACTCTTCACTATGGTTTTCAATGCCTTTCATACCTTAGTTCTATCTCATTTTTTTGGTTTTTTTTGAACCCAGGACCTCATCCATACTAGCCAAATGGCTCACCACTGAGCTACATCTCCAGCCCAATTCCATCCCAATTCTGTTCCAACCTGTTTTCCTTCATTATGTAGCTTACAGAAAGAAATGTCTGTCTCGCACTGAGACACAGAGCCTGTTCACTGCTTGTGTAAAAAACTTTTTTTTTGGGTGTTTAGGAATAAAATTAACTGGAATTATCCTTTTTCTCGTTTAAAGCAATTACTTTAAGTTTTCTTAAACTCCAATGATTTCCCTTTAATCATGTAAAATTACATGATGTATATACTACGGTATATACAAACACCCAAGTCAGGTGAAATCAAGGGCTTTCAGGATAGTATGGTAGTAGTATGGGTAGATCAAAACCCAAGTTAGAAATAAGACACTAGTAAGACCTTACAACATTCTACCTGCCAATTTCCAATATACTCCCTTTTCCCTTCTACAGTCCCTTGTCTTTTAAGTTCTATAAATAATGTATGTACCCTTAAAAATTGATTTTACATTTATGAACTGTGTACAAAATTGACTCAAAATGTATTGTTAATTTTTTTGGTTGTGATGGGGACCAAACCCAGGGCCTTGTGCATGCTGGGCAAAGGCTCTACCATTGAGCTATATACCTCCAGCCCTGTATTTGCTTTTTAAAACTTCCCATTTGCTTTTTATACGTGAACTAAGACTGTACTTTTACTATGATAGAGATAGCATTTTGTATGTACATATACTAATATATTTTGCAATAAAGAACATTTAAACCTCTTTTTTGGTGGTACTGGAGTTTGAATTCAGGGCCTCTTGCTTAATAGGCAGTAGCTTAAGCCACAACCCCAGTCCAGATGATGGACATCTATGAATATCTAAGTGCCTTCTAGTGCTTAAATGCAAAAATTCGCTCCTCCACGGTACTTTCTAGAAATGGACAGACACGTAATTATTAAAACTGGTACTAGCGGTTGGGGTTATGGATTCAGTGGTACAGGGCATACCTAGCAAGTTCAATGGTTTGATCTACAGCCAAATAAGTAAACAAATAATTTGATATTGTTTCTCAACTATTGCATGAGCTAGATCAAGTAGTGACTTTAAAATTTCACATATAGCTTAGCCCTGGTGTCTCACACCTATAATCCTAGCTACTTGGGAAGCTGAGAGACGGAGGATGGCAATAGGAGGCCAGCCAGGACAAGTAGTTCATGAGACCCCCTCCCCCATCTCCAAAATAACCAGAGTAAAATGGACTAAGTGTGGCTAAAGCTGTAGAGCACCTGCTTGGCTTGAACTCCAAGATTGGAGTTCAAACCCCAATCCCTCCAAAAAAAAAAAAACCAGAAAAAAAACCAAAATCACATATAGTAGTTTCCTCTCCTTTGACTTACTTTACCAAAGAATGTTAAATGTACTAATACCCAGCACAAAGTGGAAGGAACAGTTAACACTGCAAATCAAAGAGCCTATCCCTAAGATTTATCTACATGACTACTATATACCTGGTGCATTTACTGCCAAGATCACTAAGACACCTACCATAGGTATTTTATTTTTTTCTCCTTGCCCTTCTTATCCAGCAATAGAAGGTATGAAGAACCACACTCCATCCCAATGCACACCCTCTATTTTCCTACTAGTCTGTTTCTGCCTGAGAAGAGTACTAACAGGTTACTGGGATTCTAGATCAAAGTGAATGCCAAATATGTCATTTAAAAAAGTTTCCTGAAAAACACAAGTCTTTCATATCAACTATCCTTTAATTTTGAAACAGCTTTAAAAATGTTTTTTGGAGATTTTTCTTACTTTCAAAGAGCTAGAGCCTTTTCTATACAGAACATTGGGACTTGAGATACTACTGGAAAATTATCCAAAGCTACTCATCACATTAAAGACATGCTACGCTACATTCACAGTCCTGACATAGTAATTAATGACATGCAGGCCAGGAAAGATGGTATAGCACTTTATTGTAATTCCTATGGTGGGAGCCTGTTATTCTAGCACTGTGGCACAAGGATGATTAGTTTGAGGCCAGCCTAGCCTCCAAGCAAGACCCTGTCTTGGCCAGAGTTGCCACTCTGTCAGAGTGCCTGCCTAGGAAACTCAAGACCCTCAGTTCAAACCCCAGTACCACTGCATACACACAAAGTCAAGGGGTCTGTTGATGTGGCTCAAGTGATAAAGCACCTGCCTAGCCACACAAGGCTTTCAGTTCAGACTCCAGTGTGCCTGTCTGTCTGTCTTTCTCACTCTCACACACACCTCCCCCCATCTAGTCAGGCACTGGTGGCTTACATCTGTAATTCTAGCTACTCAAGAGGCAGAGATCAGAAAGACTGCAGTTCAAAGCCAGCATTAAGCCCTGAATTCAAACGTCAGTACCACCAAAAAGGTAAAAAGACCCTGTTCTCAAAAGAAGCTTGTAAGCCAGGTTGTCGTGCCTGATGCCTGAAACCTTAGCTACTTGGTATATCGGCCTCCAGAGGCTGAGATCAGGAGGATGGCAAAAAGTTCTCAAGGCCTCATCTCAATCAATAGGTGGGCACCTTGGCATCATTCCAGCTGCACAGGGAAGCACAAGCAGGAAGGTGGAGGTCCAGGCCATCCTGCATCTATCTCAAAAATAACAAAGTCTGGAGGTGTGGCTCAAGTGGCAGAGTGCCTGCCTAGCAAGCTCAAGGTCTTGAGTCAAAACCCTCCCAGTACTGCCCAGGAAAAAACAAACTAAAAAACAAAACCAAGTAATGTAATTTCTTCTGGGAATTTCAGAAAAATACCAGAAAGGAAATACAAATAACCCATGATGCCAACATCCAGAGCTAACAAAATTTTTGGACATATCTCTATACTTAGGCTTTTTTTGTTTGTTTACACACTAGAAACCAGTCAAATTTGTAATGTTTTAGTACATCTCTTTTACTCTCCTAAAAAACTGTTTTGAACCCAGGGCCTTGAGCATGCCAGGCAAATGCTTTACCACTGAACTGCCTTCCTCAGCCCAAATCTCAGATTTTTTTTTTCCCGTAGTAGTGGAGGTTGAACTCAGGACCTCACACATGCTAAGCAGGCACTTTACCACTGGAGTCACTGCACTAGCCCCGAATCTCAAATTTTTAACATGCTTAATAACTACTAACATTTATGAGCATAAATCTTCAACTCCCTATTTTCTTAAGATAAATTCCAATAAGGACAGCCCTTCTGAATCCTCCCACATTAGTTCAAAATAAGTAAAAGCTTCCTCTATAGGTATAAACTAAACACAAAATTAAGTGCCAAGAAATGTAAATTTAAAGAACTTCACCCTAAAATCTTCTGGGTAAATGAGCTTTTTCAAATCTTTAACCAATCAAAAGATTTTTCATGTATAAATCTTCGATGGTGTTTAATTTCAAGGTTTCAAAAACACTGTCTACTAGCAAAAGCCTAGTAAACGTCTTTGCAACAAAAAAGTCTCCCCGATCCTTTCTGATTTCTACAATACTAATAATCAAAAATTATGTCCATAGCTGGGCGTGGTGACAGGGGACCGCAATTCAAGCACTCAGGAATTTTGAGACTCTCAAAAAAAAAAAAAAAGTAGACTGTACAGAGTGACTAAACTATTAGTGACACAATGAGCTTCTAAGAGATTTTATTTTGCCTCCTTATTAAAAGTCTAAATATAATCTTTGCCAGCAGGCCAACTATTTAAATTTACCTAGGAAAAAAATGTGTCCTACCAACTCTTTAAAAATCTTAATCCAAGCTTTAATGCACAGAAAGCAGTATAGTCTACTAGCAAGACTAGAAATTTCAGAATCACAATAACCATTCTAGAAACGTCTAGCTGAAAAACTGTAACTGATCCAACAGGAATAGTCTACAGAAGAGGTTATTCCGCAAGACTAGGCCGTACAGCAGGATAAATACCTAGGGGATATTCATCCACGGTAAAAGTAGAACACAGCGCATGGCACAGCGCTAGCAATGGAAAGAACGATGCGGCGACTACACCATGTTATGCCAAACCCTTTGTCTGGAAACCGGAAGGTCTCTCCACATACGATCCTGACCAGAGGAACCTGGACTAACAATATTTTGATAAAGAGAAAAGGGATGTGAGGTGACTGAGTAAACACGCTTCCCAGCGTGCAGAAAGCTTTATTCACGACGCAATACGAATAACAAGCGTTAACGTTTCATTTTCGGCCATTTTTACGCGATGGGGGGGAGAATTGTTCCAGATGTCTGGCTAAAATCGCGCGCGAGCGTGTGGGCGGGGGACGCGGGAGTCTTGGGGGCGCTAGCAAGCGGTGGGCGAGGAACGGCGCGAAGGCAGTGACACCAGAAAAAGAAAGAAACGTTGCTCAAAACGGCTAAGCTGTTCAGGGTCTGCGAAATCCTCCATTTGGGAACACTTTTTCACAGGAAAAAAAAGGCAAACGCACTATTTGGGGCTGGCGCTACCCAAGGACTTTGCTAGCTTAACTATTTTCCCCAAATGGCAGGCCCCCAACGGACAGTCGGTCCCTCAGGCCTCAAACGCTCCTCCCTCCCCCTCAGCGCTGCGGCCCGCGTGTAACGGGCTCGTCGTCCCGCCCCCGCCCACAGAAAGCCCAGTACGCGGAAAGCTCGGTGGACAAACAAATCTCGGTACCCCGCCCCTCCCCCCGACTCTCCCACGGCACCCCGGGGCATTGGCTGGTCGCGTGTCTTCCACCGGGACCGCTCACCTCCACCGCCCGAGGAGGCTGGTTGCGCCGCCACTGCGCTCCTAACATGGCGGCCGCCGATCAGGCGGCTCACATACGCAGCGCAGAGGGAGGCAGAGCGGGCTAGCGGGAGCGAGCAAGAAAGGCGCGCCGCCGGCTCCCCGCGGCCCTGCTCGCCGTCGCTGCCCCCTCCCGGCGGACGCGGAGCGCCCCCAGCCACCCACCTCGACTCTTACCCGTTTCGCGCCTACCTGAGGAAAAGGGAGAGGGAAAAGGAGAGAGACCTCTCTCCCAGCGAGCGGGACGCGGAGGCTCCCACAATCCCCCGCAGCAACGGCGCTGGCAAGAGATGATAGCAGCGGCTGCAGCCCAAGCACTCACTCTCGCGAGAACGCTCGTTCCCACCCCTCCGGTCCTCGTTCGGCGCGCGCCAGACTCCTCCCACTGCACGGCGCGCGTGCCTAGCTCGCGCTCTCGGCCGCTGTGGTTGTTCTTTAATCCTGGAGTCTCTCTATCCCTCATCCGGTTGAGGTGGGAAATGAGGGAAGACGTATAACCTACGTGTTTGAATACCATTCTCGAAAAAGCTTTTTTCCCTCAATCCCCAAACAGCATATTGCAAAATTAAAGAGTATACGTTAGCAGCGCTACGCGGGAGTCCTTAGCTTAAATCTAATTTCTGTCCTTTCCAATTATCTGCAGAGGAATGGTGCCAGAGGGAACCGATACTATTTGGCTAGTTTTTAACCACAGGAATTTCCAGGGTTATTCTGGCAAGAGATACCGAGCCCCTTCCCTTGAAAAGACCTCAGCTTTCTGTTGAATTTGAGTAGATAGAAACATCGTTGGGACTGTGATACTGCACCCAGATTACTGTCGGGTATTTGGGATCCCATTTTCTGATAAACAAAGGTGACCCGATTGGCTAAGACTCTCACAAACCACCCTCACAAAACTCAGTGTCTTAGAGGGCAGGGAAATTTCTCAGCACTATTAATTATGGTAAGAATTATAGCTGGTGCCAGTGGTTCACACCTGTAATTCTATTTGGGAGGCTGAGATCGACAGGATCGCGGTTGGAGGCCAGGCAGAACCAATAGTTCTACAGACCCCATCTTCAAAACAACCGGGGCAAAATGCACTAGAGGTGTGGCTCAAGTAGTTGAGCGCCTGCTTTGTAAACAGAAGCCCTGGGTTCAAACCCCAGTCCCAACCTTGCCCACCCAACGGAATTATAATTCTTACTATGGATTGGGTAGGCAATCCAATAACACTGACAAGTGGCTATTACTAACATCCTATTGACAGATGAGAAAGTCTGTACGGTTTATGAAAGTTGAACTTTTATAGTAACTACTCTTGGAAATCCTTAGGCATTTTCTGAAACGGTATAGCAACAAAAACAGAAGTTAACTTGTCATGACAAGAGCCATTTGCTTTATTTACAAAATACAAAGCAAGTCTGGCTCACAATATTAGTCTACCTCAAGTATTTCAGAAGTGCCTCCTGCATCAGTATGCAAAGTCCAAGGGGAAATGGCAGTAAACTTAGACAAAAGCAATTTTTTTTTTAAGGTGGTGATAAGTCTGAAAAATCATGCTTCCACTGTGAAAACAACAGAGGGGGCAAGAGAACAGAGAAATAGGGTCTAGCAGAACTATTTGCCCTGGCTGGCTTCAAACCAGGATCCTCCTTATCTCTGCCTCCTGAGTAGCTAGAATTACAGGCGTGTACCACCAGCACCCAGCCCAAACCAAGCCTTTTTAAATTGGGGTTTTTTTCTTGGCAGCACTGGGGATTGAACTCAGGGCCTCACACTTGCTTGATAGGCACTCTTACCCCTTGAGTCACTCCACCAGACTATGGGTTTTTTTCCCAGACAGGGTCTCAAGAACTATTTCCCCAGGGCTGGCTTCAATCAGTAATCTTCCTGATACCTGCCTTCTGAATAGCTAGGATTATAGGTGTGAACCACTGGCGTCAGGCTGGTAATGCTGTTCTTTAAGGCATGATGGTACATGTCTGAAATCCCAGCAGGTTGAGGCAGGAGTTCAAGGCAAGCCTGAGCTACATACCAAGATTCTGAGACCCTGTTAGAGTGGTATGTATGGGTCTTGAGCTCCGGTGAAGTTTATGCCTTAGCAACAAGATATAAAATGGGGTATGTAAGAAATATGCCTAAGTATACAGAGTGGCCAGAGGGCCAAGCACTGAGCTCTAACCAAGAATACCAAAGGAAATCCAGTGAACAGGTATTTGTGTGTAAGGGTGGGAGGGGGAACAAACATTAATCTATGTAAAATATGGGGAGGGAGGAAATTATACTGCCTTGAAAACCACAATACTTCCAGGACAAAATGATCAACAGGGTCAAATGCTAGCAAGAGTTCAAGATGAAGACAAAAACAAAAAACCCAGCAACATGGACATCATTAGTAACATTTAGAGTTGCCTGCAATAAAGTAGAGGTAGTCAGCACATGTTAAAAGGGAGATATGAACTACCCAATGTGAAAACACCTGGGCTGAACTTAACACAATTGCAGGAAGGATATTTTAGTTAGCTTTGAGAAATAAAAATTGCAGAGGATACGAATTCTTTAGTGAATCTTGGGTCTTATTTCCACCTGAAATCTTCTGTAATTGAGATTCCAACTGATCTTCCCCATGTTCTCTTCAAAGGCTCTAGTTCCCTGTCATACAGAAATATGACTGCTTGCAAATCTGTTCATGTATGTACTTACTCAAATTTTTGCATAAGGCTCTAATGCTACCTGGTGATTGTGTAGGAAAAAAAAAGTCAGGCTTTTTTAATTAATTATTTATTAAGGATCTGACATGATGAGACTCAAGAAATTACAGGTTCTAAGAAGCTTATCAGTAGACACAGGAAAACAAGGTTAATGACTACACTCACCAAATACTTGTCATGAAGGCCACTATATAAAGCTAGGAACACAAAGATAGAAAAGACAAATTCACCCTTGAGGACCTTGATCTGAAGTAGACTAAAGAATCTGGCCTCAAGGAGGGCCTGGTTTTGAGGCGAGATTGATTAAGTGCTCTATTCACATTTGGGTTACTTTGGGGTAGGTGTAGTCACCAGGGATGGTAAAAGGCCTTCAAAGAAAAAATTGCTGTTGAGACTTTCAAAGCCATGTTTGGTACAACTAAAGGACTTAACTTCCAATACCAAGATAATAGCTCTGAAATCTAAACTGGCAAGGGCCTTTTCCACTTCTGAGTGGAGAAAACATACATATATGGAGGGGAAAATGTGTTAAACCACTCATTTGGTCAATACAGCAAGTCATGCTATCAATGTTCATACATTTTACCTATGGTGCTGGGCATTAAACTTGGGGCCTTTTTATATGCTATTCACTCTCCTATTGTATGTACTAATACCATCCGCCAGCTGGGGATTAAATTTGGGATCTCATGCATGCTGAGCACCTCTACCAACTGAGTTATATCCCCAGCCCTTCGTCCTTAGTTTGAAAGGATGAAACTCAGAAAAAACTCATTTCCTAAGCTAAGCAGCCTATAATGCATTATAATTAGCATAATCCTGAACATAAAAGCACCACTATCCCTATACAAGAGATTAAGAGGCTGGGGAATATAGCTCAGTGGTCAAGCCAGCTAGGTTGAGTTCAATCCCCAGGAACGAATCAAAAAAGTTTAAGCTTGATTAGTCTTGCAGCTGGAGACAAAACCAGTTTTTTTATTGTATTATACTGCTTTTGGCAGAGCTTTGGCCTCAGGATCTATTGGAACACGTTTAATACCCCAAAGCCAGGTCTTTTGAAGGACACTTAAGAGGTAAAATTTAAGTAATGGCTCTTTTTTACAGTAGGGCTGTTTAAAAGTTTATGAAGTCACACAATTTTAAGTTTCTTCAGTTTGATTACAATATATCTTGGAGGTTGTGATACTCAAACTTGCCTCACAGCATGAAGGATGACATTATATATAGTATGTGGGCTAATTTCAAGCAAGATCAAATAAAACTATTTGGAGTTCTCTGGATCTATCTGGATGTTAATTCACTTCACCAGATTTAAGAAACTTTCTGCCAACTAGGCAGGCGTTTTTATTTTTATAATTTTATTTTGTGGTGCTGGGGTTTGAACAAAGGGCCTCATGCTTGCTAGGCAGGCACTCTGCCACTTGAGCCACACCCCCAGCCAACTTTCTGCCAGCTCAACAGCACCATTATCTCAACTGAGACTAATATGCTATTTTAATGTCTCTTAATACCCCCTCACCAAGGAAACTGAAAAATATAAAGGATAATGGTTTCAAGACAGACAAGATTTGGCCATGTAGAAATACTCTGGTAATTGATCAGAGTTCAGGCAGGTAAGTTTGTATGCAGAGAGAAATTTGAAACACTGAACCAAATTATCTGTAATTATAATGGGGAGTAATAATGCCAAATTACTTTGGTATAATGCTACTTCTCAAGAGAAAAGCGATGTTACCCTTTTTACTTACAACTTAGTCCTGAGATGTATTTTTTAACCTTGAATACAAAAGCAGTACATTTTATAAACTTTGTACATGTGAAGGTATTTGGCCAATGAAAATGCCTTAAAAGGAATGTTACACCTTATAAAACTTGTTTTTAAAGCTCTCCACCATGAATTCCTTTCCAGTTTGCTATGGTACTTAACACCAAACCACATTTTAATAAACTTTTGCTTTCTCTGTTCTTGCAATGCATGTGTTTGTTTGGCAGTGGTATTCCGTAACTTTTAAAAGACTTCACTTTTTATTCTAAACTAAAAGTCTCACTGTTACCCAGACTGGCCTTGGACTCCTAGTTCAAGTGCTCTTCCAGTCTTTAATGACCTTTAAGCTTGCTTTATTTTTTGAGTCTGTCACTGAAATTTTTAGTTCAGCCATATCATTTTTAGCTCAAGTACTTGGGTTTTTAAAATTATTTTTTATAGTTGGCTACTGCTGATTTGTTTTGTTTGGTGTAGTCATGGGTTGGTGTCTGTGCATTTAAGTATTTTTCTTTTGAGGAAGGGTCTTGCTCTTGTAGTCCAAGTTAACCTCCAACTCTTCATTACCCAGTCTTCCACCTTGAAGTGCTAGGATGCCGAGCATATAGGACCCTATATGGCTACTTATTTCAGTCTTACAGATTTCAGCAGAAAAACCCCTTCCTCTGTCAGTCACCTCATCCAGAGATTCTGGGAAGACCACATAGTTCATCTTGTGAGCAAGCTAGCTTGGCACATGGGTACACAGTACAGGGGCTCTAGACCCTACTTCAGAGCCTACTCTGAAGCCTAAGCTTACAGATGCCAACCTGGCATCAGGATGAGGCTGGGTGTACAGGTATTGGCTTAGAGTGTGGAGCCATACTGGCACCTGCCCAATCATTGAATTTTACTGTACAGCTGCTGATGAGATCCAAGGCAATCTGGTGCGCATTTTACTCTCCTCCATGCAAATCACCCGAGTTGTACAGCCTGGGATTGGGAGAACATCAAGCTGTCTTTTCTAACATCTTTAATACATCTTTTTTTATTTCTATACCACACCCATGTGTTATAATCTCACCTGACTTCCCTATTTGTTGTAAGATTTTTATGCATTTACAATTGTTCAAATTGAAGCTTCCATAAGGCAACAAGAACTAAGCCCATTATACTTTACCACTTTGTTGACACTGAATGTCAGCTAAGTATATCCTGATCTCTTGTCTACATTTAAAAAAGTAACTATTATATCAGCCATTTCTTATTTTTTCTGAAGTGTCTTTTATACATAACACGTTACTTATGTTTATCATTCTTGTGACAAAGATGGTCATGAATTCTGGTACTGCATGAGTTTATTTACAAACATATACTATGCTGAGAGTTCAAGAGTTTGATCCAGTAGAGTGCCTGCTTTGCAAACACAAAGCCCTGAGTACAAACCCCAGTCCCACCAAAAAACAAAACAAAACAAAACAAAAAAACCAAAATAAAACTTTGATCCATTTTCCGAAGTGCCCCTCTTCAAACATTCTTCATATCTGATTAATGGATGAAATAAAACACCTTTTTAAGCAGCTGGTGTCTTACTATAAAAGATGCAGCAAATCCAAGGGTATCATAACCATTAACTGTCACTTGTTTTCCACTGAAAATGGTACATTCTTCCCTAATCCTCCTGGTAGTGGCTCTAATGAACCAGAGCCACTTCCAAATGTCCACCTCTGGATGCCCTGCCCCAACGTAGCACTGCTGGCAGCTCTACAAAAGGTGCAGAGAAACCAACAAGCCACACATACTACACAAAGTACTCCTTGCTTCACTCTGCCTGCCATTCCTTTCATGGAATGGTGGTGGAATTAATTTCTTTTGTCTTTGCATCCAGAAGGGACCTGTAGATCAAGAGAATGTGGAGATGACATGTAACCTTTAGTATCTTCTTTCATCCACTTGGAATCTAAATGCCACACTGAAAATTCCAAGCCATATGAAAAGATGCCCTGTTGAGGTTTACGGCAGTAAGCTTATGCCAACTGCCAGCCAGAGTAGAGCCTCCAGATTGCTGCAAGCCACCCAGTCAACCTAGACAATTTTCATACATGTTTCAAAGTAAGAAGTTTTTGGGTAAAGGACTGGGGGGACTGGGAGTGCGGGCAGCAGCTCAATGGTAAAGTGCTTGCCTAAAATCTGCAAGGTCTTCAGTTTGATCCCCAATACCTTGAAACAGAAGATTTAGGGCTAGATGTACAGGTAAGTGGTAGAATGCTTATCTAGCATGCATCAGGCCTTGAGTTCAATTCCCAGCACTGTAAACAAAACAAAGAAACTTGAAAATGTTGACTTTACTCAATACTAGTATTTACCAATACTATCACATTAATTATGACAATCACAGCATCTTAAAATGTCAGTTCTTAGGGGAAAATGGTTATGTGCTTCATGAGAATTCCTTGTACCATATTCTCAACTTTTTCATATACCTACAACTATTCTAAAAATAATAAAATTCCATTCCAGGTCCATTTTGTCATCCCTTTCTCATAATGCAGTAAGTAACCCTTAACAAGAAGCTGAGAACATTCTTATACTCCAAAGGACCTTTACTGGAAGATAAGGAAGGCCAAAAAAGTAATAGGAATCTTTGACCCAAGCCTCAGGCTACTTAATTGATAAATATATGGCCCAGCAAGTTGGCTCATTATAAATGTTCCTAAACAGCAGTTAAAAAATGTTGCTAAGCAGAGATTTTAAGTATTACAGTTAATTTGTTAATTCACTTAAATTGTTTTCCAAGAGTATACTGACAGTTTCATTAAGTAGAGCTGTTCATGAAGCCCTAATTAAACCAACAAGATTCACAGGAGTCATTTTCACTCTTTTAAAGTTCTTAATGAGTTGCTCTTAGCGGTTGTTTTCCTTTGTGTGAATTCCTAGGCACTTAACCAAGCTTTTTGTGTCCCTTTTGGTTCTGCAGAATTCATCCCTCTGGGATTTGTTCTCCTGATTGAAATTTGAGACCTGATCCAACATTTCAATGTAAAAAATAAAATCCACTGTCACTAGCAAGAAGTGATAATATAATGAGAGGCAACAGGGATAGATAGCACTTAATATAGTTCCCTACTTACCTTTAAAGTTTTCCCTCTTAAGGTGGTATAAGGCCTGGGACCTGAAACTTGGCCAGAACAAGTAAGATTGTACTTGTGTTCTCTACTGCCATCTATGACAGTTGGCAGCTTGGATACTCACAGACCAGTAACCTTGCCAGTCTAATTCCAGTTTCCATTGCAGCATGGGAAAAGGATAGAGTAAGGGGAATAATGAATAAAATGCATATTTACTTCTTAAGTCTCTCACCAGAACGTAAATGTCTTTGCTCTGAAAGAAAAAAAAAAAAAGATGTAAGTCAATACAGCTAAGAAGGTGACCAATTATCAATTACAAAATCCCATTAAATCATTTTAATTGCCTGATTATGTCATTGAAACCTCTTGGGCTATTGAGCACAGGCACACAAATAGCAAATGATTTATACCTCCTCGAGAAGCAACATAGGAACCTCTCTGCCCTATCTGTGGTCAGGAAGGCAACCTGTACACTCAAAGTTTAACTCAAGACCTGACTTAAAACTAGTTCCCAAAGTTTAATCCCCAGTGTAAAAACAAAACAAAAACAAAAAACTTATGGAGCTATTTGATGACATATTTCCCTACCCAAGACACTGATCAAATGCTCTGCTAGAAACTATCTCCCTCTTAGGAGCACATTAAAATGAAGAGAACCACTCTGATAAAAGTATGCCATGCAAAAAGTATGCATAAACAAATCCTAAACACAAGAAAAAAAAGTATTTTACTAGTCCTCTAAAAAGATGAATTTAAGGCGAAGGCATTTATATGCAATGTTGGATTGGCCCTGAATATGCTGCTAATAAGCTGTTGAACTCTCAAGGCCTGAATGGCAAACCATAATCCATTAGCAAATTCTAGCTTGCTACCTGTTTTTGAATAGTCCCAGGAAATAAGAATGGTTTTTGAATTTGTAAATGCTTGGGAAAAATTTGGCATTGGAAATTTTATGAGTCCAATTTCAGTGCCCATAAATACTTTACTAGAACACAGTCATGCTCATTTGTTGACATATTCTCTAATGGCTGCTTTCATGGTACAACTGCATAGTTATAAAGATCACATGGCTGCATAAGTCTAATATATTTACTATTTGGGTCATTTCAGGAAGCAGCAGTGTTTAGTAAACTTTCTGGAATGTTGTTTGAGCTGTTCACTATGGTTGTCAACTAATAAAACATGAAATTGAAAAATGTATTTTAGCTTAATCAACAAATAGCCATATGCAGTATACAATTTATAGCAGCGCTCTAAAAAATGACATACTTTAGATTCTAGAATTATAATACACTCCATAATTTCTTTTGGTGGTACTGGGATTTGAAATCAGGGCCTTATGCTTATTATTAGGCAGGCACTCTACCACTTATGCCACAATTTTTTTCCTTTTTTTTTTTTGTGGTACTGGGGCTTGTACTCGAGTCTTCACCTTGAGCCACCCCACCATCCCTACTTTTGCAAAGGGTTTGAGAGAGTCTCACAAACTATGCCTGGGCTGGCTCGAATCGTGAACCTCCTGATCTCTGCCTCCTGAGTAGCTAGGATTATAGGCATGAGCCATGGGCGCCAGGCTAAACCAGCAATTTTTGCTTTAGGGTTGCTGTTTATGCCCACGCCAGTATGGACTGTGATCCTCCTTTCCGCTTCCCATGTAAACAGGAATCACAGGTGCATGCCACTGCATCTGTGTTGGTTTAGATGGGGTCTTGGGAACTTTTTTTTTTTCAGCTTGTCTGCTTTTTATTGTAAAAAATGTCAGTGATAAAATGCTTCTCTCCCCAAATCTTTTGTTAGGATCTAAGTTCTTTTTTTTTTATTTTATTATTCATATGTGCATACAAGGAAGGCTTGGGTCATCTCTCCCCCCTACCCCCTCAATACCCAGCAGAAACTATTTTGCCCCTATCTCTAATTTTGTTGTAGAAAGAGTATAAGCCATACTAGGAAGGAACAAGGGTTTTTGCTGGTTGAGATAAGGATAGTTATACAGGGAGTTGACTCACATTAATTTCCTGTGTGTGTGTTACCTTCTAGGTTAATTCTTTTTGATCTCACCTTTTCTCTAGTTCCTGGTCCCCTTTTCCTATTGGCCTCAGTTGCTTTTAAGGTATCTGCTTTAGTTTCTCTGTGTTAAGGGCAACAAATGCTAGCTAATTTTTTAGGTGTCTTACCTATCCTCACCCCTCCCTTGTGTGCTCTTGCTTTTATCATGTGCTCAAAGTCCAATCCCCTTGTTGTGTTTGCCCTTGATCTAATGTCCACATATGAGGGAGAACATACGATTTTTGGTCTTTTGGACCAGGCTAACCTCGCTCAGAATGATGTTCTCCAATTCCATCCATTTACTTGGGAACTTTTCGAATCTGTCTCCCGCACCCAACTTCCATAACCACCCATCTGAGGGAACTTCATGACAAAATGACTACATACATGTGTGACACCAGGCTGTTAGAGATCTGAAGTCCTGATGCAAACAGATTTCTCATTCAGGTGAAGGCACCTGCGATGAAAGGAGGTAAGAATGACCTAAGGTGCTTGGGAATGAAACCCAGGGCCTAAATGTTCCAACACTAAGCTAAAGCCACAGGAACTTTTCTAACAAGGACAACAACAAAAAATTGTTTGCACCCAGACTAGGACCAACTCCACAGGAGGAGCCATTCCACTCTCAGAGGTGCAAAACACTGTCCAAAGGTTCTTGGCCACAAGCCCAAAACGGTGCTTGGAGCCAAGCCTCAGTAAAGACAGTGCTTGCTCTTCCAACAGTGTAACACAATCACAGACATTACAGTAGCCTGGATAGCTGACAACTGCTGGATTATTCCTAAAATTTCTTGGTTTTGTTTCAGATAGTTACTTCTGTCCTGTAGAAGATATGAACATAGCACCACAATTAGTGGGACACTGACTACAGAACAGGTATGGGTTCAGTTTTATTCAATATTCAGAGAGTTCTTGGTATATGCCAGAGACTGAGCTTGGGATTTAGTATTAAACAAAGCAACATACATTATTCCGTAGAGCTATAGAATTTACAGTTTCCTTATAAATTCCTCAGATGGCATGACTTGGCTACACAGATCCTAATGCCTTCACACAAGCCACCAAAATTCTACTTTCATTACCCAGATACTAAATTTGAGGGCAAATAGAGGTGAATTTGCATCCCAATTGTCTCTTGACAGATATCAACTAGCCACCAAGCCTGGCACAGAGAGGTAGTCAATGCTGGAATAAATAAGGACATTTACCTGACAATTCCACATACACACTGTCACTCTCTTCTCTTCAGGAAGGTGAAAAATGCCTTATTTTCAAGTCACCCTAAAAAGGAAGGCAAGAAGATAAGCTTTAGTGACGTATTGTATAAAATAGTGACTATAACAATGCATCATATACTTCCAAATTGCTAAACAATTTAAATATTTTCCCCACAAATATGTAATATGCAATTATTATTTGACAATGAAAAATAAAATAATTACAAAAGACAGAATAGCAAACGAGATACATTTCCCATGGATTTATCTGTTCAACACCCTAGATTAAAACAGCAGCTCCTAAGATCCTTATCTGTAAAGGTGGAAAAAATGTTGGCCATTCATGTATGATCTACAAATTTCTACTATTTGCCTTTTTCCCTGCCTACCTGCCGAATATCATCAGTCCTAAGACCACCTATGTAAAAGGCTATTCACAACATTTGGGCCATTCAATCAAATGACTCAACATTCAGCTGAGAGAATCCTTTTAAGGGAAAGCCAATTGATGGAACAAAATAAGCTTTGATTACTAATTCCCTGCCCATACTCTCCCCCCAACATCCTCACCAGTTCCTCCTATGGAAACTAGGGTGTCACTTTTCACCAAGGCAGTAACTAAGTCGGCTCTCCGAACATTGTCCAGAATCACCCTGAGTGATAAATGTTTGCCTAGAACCAGGAGGCATTTCTTCTCAGAAAATCAGCATTCTAAAATAAAATCATGCTGGGAGCATCGTTTAAGTGGAAGAGCACTGCCTACCCAAGTTCAAAACCCTATCCTGCCAAAATAATACAAAATCAGTGCAAAGGGTACTCAATACTTTCTACTACAAAGCGGCAAGAACGGTTCACTTCTGATGATCGATACCAATACAAATACTTTCAGTTTAAAGCAGGAATTAGGATGGTTTTCCTTAGGCCTTGCTCCCAGAGCCCATCAACCACTATTTTCATATTTGATTAAAGAGCTGGAGAAGAATGCTCATAATTTTTTGTTGTTGATGAGAGAGGGGAGGGTACAGTGGTGTTTTCCTATGTTGTCCAGGCTTGTCAAGTTATCTTAACGATTATGTGCTGGAACTTCAGCAGTGTACCTTTACACTAAATGGCCATAATTAAAACAAATTCTCAATAGTATTTTCTTAAATAGGGCACTTCATGGGGTAACTACAATTATTAAATTCTTTAACAAAATGATCATAGGGCTGGGAGTGTAGTTCAAGCAGTAGAGTTACTGCCTAGAAAGCACAGCTGAGTTCAAATTCCAGTACTGCAAGAAAAAAAAAAAAGAAGGAAAAAAAAATCTCTTCCCTGGGACTGCCTCAGTTTTATTTGAGCACCAGTGACTTAACGCCTGTAACCCCTGCTACTTGGGAGGCTGAGATTTAGAACTTCAGTTCAAAGCCAGTCCAAATAGTTCTGGGTCAAGAGGTAGAGCATGAAGTTCAAACCATCAATGTCCCACCAGTCTCCCCCCCCAAAAAAAACCCCAAAGGAATCATGACTAGCTTTTATTGTGGGAGGGAGCCAATCACTTTAATTGAAATCCCACTGACTCCCCCTTATCAGGCCCCTTTTGCACAATCTGTAGACAGTAATACATTAAAGCTTCATGTTTATACACCCCTCCCTGGCTTACTTTTGCTGTTTTTCCAAGGTGTGAGTCAAGTAGCTTTATACTACCCAGTTAGACCAGATTCACTCAGGGAGATAGGAGTTTTAGGTTTCTCCCTACAAAAACTCTTGCAGATTTAGTCTTAATGAATAAGCAACTATGCTGACATCCTGGTATAGTTGAGAACAGAGTTGGCAAAAACCAGGCCCAGAATGTCAGCCAGCTTTTAGCTGCTGTTCTCCCAGCGGTGTAACACTTACCTAGGTACAAGGCAACCTAGGCAGCTGCCTACAGCTGGGGCCAAAGAGAGCTTCTACCTTAAGTCCAAAGATGGCTACTCTGCAATCCAAGCATTCCAGGATAGACAAAAGTGAACACGTGCAGCTTTGAGCCCCAGCACTCAAAAATCCATTATTTTTGTGAGGCCAGAGCCACAGAACCAATAGTGGACAAGAAACAAACATCTTATCCTTGGTTATCTTTGTTTTCACAGTTGATTTATTACTTTATGTACAACAGCAGTTCAACAGGAGCACATAAATGGCCTAGACAACTATCATGAAGTTTGAAGCTATCATTTAGCAGCCAAACCACTCAGCAAGTACCTCAATCTCATTTGTAGAATGGGAGTAACAGTGCTCTGTAGACAGGATGGTTGTGAGACGGTATGTGAGTCAAAAGTACTGATATGTGGTAGAGTGGGCATTCAATAAATAACTTGAGCTACATTCCAGAAAGGTATGATGAATAAGGGCGAGTACAAAGGGAAGTCAACCAGGGTGAGCAAAGGGCAGTGAAAATGCAAAAGGCCGGTTTAAACTAGATAGAGGAAAACCTTGAATATGGGACACCTTTTGAAGGACAGTAAAAGCAGCCACTTAGATAAAAAATCACTGAATGCAGTAATGTTTGGGAAAGGAACTACTGACTTAAAGCAATGACCAATATGTCTGCAAAAACGTTAGTAACTATTCCTACACACTCAGCAATATAATTATCCCTATTTGTAGAAGGTTGTTTTATCTAAGCCCATACCTTTTCCCAACCATTTTCAAATCTTACACCTAACCTCCTCCAGATAATTTAAACGAACAAGAAAATGAATAGAAGACTCATTGCTCGGGTCTAAAAAACGAAACTAGTCTGCCTCTTTCAGGTCCTCGTGTTGGAGGGGCTGACTCAATTCCATCCAGACATGTGGTCCTCACAAACCCAAGTCTCTGCCTGCGGTCGCCTTGAGAGGGACGCTCTCGGAGTTCGGCTCCAGGTGACTGACTCCCAAGCGAGAAGACGTGCAGTAGAACACGAGGCGACTCTGAGGTTATGGTTTCCCAGGGTCTCTTCAAGATGCCCTCCAAGCCTGGGGTCACGAGGAAACGAACCACAATTTCGTCTGGTGCCCCGGCAGGAGCCTCCCCACATTTCTTTTGCCTCTGGGCTGGTAAACCACCAAGGCTACTTCCCACCCGGCCCTCACTTACCCGCACGTGTACGGAGCTCCACAAAACCAACCAGCGCAGGCAGAGGCCGCACGGGAAAGGGCAGGCAGCAGCCGGCGGGAGCCCCGCCCCGGGGCGCCGGGGGCGGCTCCATCCCGCCCCGGCCCGCCGGCTCCGCCCACAAAGGGCCGGGTCAGAAACACCCTAGGGCGGTGGTGCACTGGAGTGTCCTCGGCCTCGGTGCTACACCCTGGGGAAGAAAACGCTGGAGTCCGAACAATCGCTATATTTGTTGGACACCCGTCCCATTTCTTACGTAGAAGTGGCGCTGGGTTCTGAGCTGCTAAACAGAGAACATCGTGTGTCCCAGCGGGGCCAGGCTCACTGCCTGCCCGCCCTTAACACGCCTGGGAAGCCTGTTTCACACACACGTGCAGAGCCTTTTGGTTGCCGCAGGTCTGGCCCACGCTTTTGCACTTCCCACGCACATCCTCTTTCTGGCTTTCTGCAGCAGCACTCTCAGTTGGCTAATGGATCTTCCACCCACGCAGGTCACATTAGTTGGGTTTTTTCTGGATATCTTAAGGAGGTTTTAGGGTAGATTAGGCCAGTATGTCCTGGCCTAACACTGCGGACCACATCCTTGGGTGTCCTGCAGTGGAATTCTTAGGTAAGCTGCAGCAGCTAAAGAATGCTGACTTTTTCTGCCAAGTTTTTGCTGCTCCTGTGGCACAATCAGCCAAAGAAGCCATATTCTCGGTTTGGACAGACACCGCCGTATTATCAGGATTTCTTTTGAATACTAACATTTCCTTTCTCCAGTAGTTAGGAGTCATTATGATTCCGTTCAGATGAACAGATGGTGATGCTGGAGCCCAAGGGACCAGGCCCACCAGCAGTAATTCCTAAATCCATTTTATAACTTTAAATTCTAGAGCTCCTCCAATTTTCTGACTCCCTCCCCAACTCTCTTCCCCAGCTTCTTACAGGCTCTGTTGATATATTGTATCTGGCACCATTGCCAGGCAAGCCCCTGGGAATCAGTCACTGCCCTTGGCGTCTTGCCAACCTGTTTTATTATCTATTTCCTCAGCTCTTTCATAATGAAAAAAAAAAAAAGTGCTTCCTATTCACCCCAACCCTAGCATAACTCTCCTGAAAAAGCCCAGAGTCCTAAACTGATTCCAACAAGAGACCCTAGGCTATAGGGCCAAAGACCGACTGGAGAAGTGGCAAACCCCAAATCTCAGTTTTAATGGAGTTGAACATAGGTTGTGGTTGGGAAAGTGCCTACATAAATGCAGTAATTTAAAAAGTCACATGATCAGTGTTGGGCTGGTAGGCAGGAGTTCTGTTTTGCAGTTAAATCAGAATATGACTGAAGACTGCTTGCTGCCATAATCATTGCAGCATCCGGCTGTCACAGTGTGTTCATAAAAGAGGGTTATGAGCGCTATAAAACCGAGCAGATTGGGTGGGTAATTGTCCTGTAGAGCTCTGCTAAAGGAGAAATTGCTTTGGTATCTCATATATTTTTCTACCTTTCCTTCCAAACCCACAAAGTGGAGAAGGCAGAGCTACCCTGAGAATTCATGAAAAGGAAAGATGAGGGGTCAACCTTCTTGACCTCCACTCTTAAATTCTGAATTCATGATAATGGGTTGATTCACATGTTCTTTTACCTGTAATATCAGAATTTTTCTGTATTTTCATTTCTTATACCTGCAAAGACAAAATTGTAGTAGTAATTAAAAAATAAAAGGTAATATGAAGATTCAAAAATAAAATTAAAACAAAATTTTTAAAAAAAAGAACATTTCTGGAAAAACAATGCAGCTAAGCGGAAGGCCAAGGATGAGGGCAAGCCCATTTGCTTTGCGTTTGACCTCATAACTAAAAGTCTGGCCCCAAATGACACCAGATTCCCAAGTTTCTTGCCTATGTTTCCCTTTCCCTTCTACCTATCCTCTCCACCTTGCTTCTCTCATTGATGCCTTTTGCTCAAGACTGAAAGAAAGGAAACATGTACACACACATAAAAATATCAATAACAGAAGGACCATGTATTACTGATTCCATCCATATATGCTATGGTTTGAATGTGATTTGTCCCTTGTAATTTCATGTGCTTGAGTCTTGGTCCACAGTGTGGCTATTAAGGTGGTGGGGCCTAGTGGAAGGTGGTTAGATTATTGAGGACACTGCTATCAGAAGGAATTAATGTAATACTCTAGGGACCTTTGTCAGTTCCTGTGAAAGTAGTTTGTTATAAAAAGAGCAAGACAAAAAAAAAAAAACAAAAAAAAACGAGCAAGACTTTCTCTTCCTGGTCTTTGGTGGGTCAAGTGAGCCAAATAAACCTCTTTGTGTGTGTGGTACTGGGGTTTGAACTTAGGGCCTTGCACTTGCTAGGCAGGCTCTCTGCCACCTGAGTCTCTACCAGCCCCTTGTTTTCTTTATAAATTACCCCAGCCTTGTGTATTTTGTTATAGTAATAAAAAATGGATTAAGACAATATGAAAGTCCAGAATAAGGCAATCTATTGAGACAGGAAATAGATTAGGTCTGAAAGAGGTAATAGCTAAGGGGTATAGGGTTTCTTTGGGGGATGATATTGGCCATGGTCATGGTTGCACATATTTGTGAATATATTAAAAACCATTGAATATACACTTTAATAAATTATCTCAATAAAGCTGTTGAAACAATAACAAAAACATATCTGTGGACCTGCAGTTCTGCTAGTAATTGTGTGCTCTATGGTCATTTAAGAACTAGAAAGGAGCTGGGCAGTGGTGGCTCACACCTCTAATCCTAGCTACTCAGGAGGCAGAGATCAGGAGGATCATGATTCGAAGCTAGCCTGGGCAAATAGAAACCCTGTTTTGAAAAAACCTAACACAAAATGGAGCTGGCAGAGTGGCTCAAGTGGTAGAGTACCTGCCTAGTAAGTGTGAGATCCTGAGTTCAAACCCTACTACCACCAAAAACAAAAAACAAAAAGAACTAGAAAGGACTTTTTATTTTGGGTCCTGTGGCCTCTCAGAGTTCCTTATTCTATGGAAAACTATGTCATTTGGGCCAGAAGCACAAACAGATGCACAAAGGTACACACATTCCCACACTTCCACTCCTTAACTCAACTTCCTCACAATGACTTGATTCAATGTTTACTGTGTAGAAGGCAGGCAGGACCTGAAAGAACCAGTCTCTTCATTCCCTCAAGGATTTAAAATTAAATTATTATGATACTGACCTCTGTATAAACAAATATAGCTCTTTAAATGAAAGGCAATTAGGTACAAACAATAGTCACTAGGCAGCCTGGGATTCTGAACTTCCTTTATTGAATGTAGGGAAACATAGTGATATGAGCTATAGACCAATTTCCAGTCCTTCTTGGAGCTGAGCAAGTTCCAGGACTTGCCTTCTTCCTCACATGCCTCCAGTCACCCCTTCATTTGGTTGCTAGACTCAATTTGTCAGTCTATTTTCATATCCCTCATTTTCTCACCAACCCCACCCCCACAACATCCAAATTGGCTCTCTAATACTGAAACCATTTGCCGGAAATTCATTAAACTGAACACATGGGAAATTACAGAGGAGATTTCACATGTCACTTATGCTCAAATATAGAAAGTAATTTTAAAAGGACAGTGCTGGGAGTCTATTTTTACCTTGCTTGTTTGTGCTGAGCTTTCTTATCTTGCTGTCTCTCTTTCTGTTACTGGCTATCTCTCTTTTTCCTTGTTTCTTCTTTAATATTGGCCTTTAAAATCTTTGTCCCAGGTTCTCTTATCTTGCTTTTTAGAGTCTGTTTCTGGCTTGTCATTCATTCAACATATTTTGAGTACCTACCATGCAGCAGCCCCTGTGGTAGACCCTAGGAGGGATTCAATGAGGAGGAAGTCCTTATCAGTATGGCCTTTACAGTCTGATGAGGGAGGTGGTCCTTAGGGAGAGTGGATTTCAATTTGGTCACAGGAAAGCTTGGGAGATTTCTTGAGGAATGTGGAAACCAAAGACCTAGGTCTGTATGTGACCTAGGATGAGGGAATAGCAGTTGGGTGTGGTGTTATGTACTTGTAAACCCAGCTTCTCAAGAGGCTGAGATAGGAGGATTACTTAAATCCAGGAGTTTGGGGCCAATCAGTGCAACATAATGAGACCCAGCTCTTAAATTTTTTTTAAATAAAAAAATACTAAAAATAATCTTATTTTAAGGTTGTGATGATTGAATGTATACCATTATCATGTATAAAGGGCATGGCAGGTGTCAATGTATGTTACTTCCTTTCCATTATTTCTCTAGCCACCCTTGAATCCTATAATTAAAAATAAATACATAAATCTACTGCTAAATAAATTAAAAAAAATAAAGCCTAGTCTCCCAATTGGAAATGAATTTCTCAAATGGTGTTCACTAATCATATGCCTAGAGAGATGAGCTGCTACTAGATTGGTTACTGTAAGTTGTATTATTCATACAGCTTATAAGTGATCACTCCCTTCCTCTGGGAGAAGAAAAAAGCCATAAAAAAATAAAATTACAGTATAGGAAAGAGACTAAAATGAGAGATGGCAAAGGACTTCCTCACTTGGAGAGCTGGAATGTGAGTGGATGCCTTAGAGCTACAGAGAGCCTCTGTCTGAACAGGGTCAGGGCAGGCCTACTTGGAAGTTGAGAATGAACCTGACAGCCTCTTCATGTTCTTTTTAGCCTAAGGAATCCTTGTGGGAGGCATTACAGTTTCTTTTCCTTTTCTAAGCCAGGTGTGCTCTGGGGAGCTGAATGCTGCCATAAGGCTTATTGTTCATAAGGAAAGGAAAAATGGCAGCTGCCATTTCAGGTACTTAATAAGTACACTAAATTAGGAAGCTGCTGATTTGTTTTACCTGATTCCTCCTCTTTGATAAAGAAATCTCTTCAATCAGAGGTTCCTTGAAGCTGAAATGGAAGCCTGAGTTCAACTGCAGAAATTGACAGACAACACACAAATGAATAAGCGGGACTCAGTACCAGGATTCCCTCTCCTGCCCAGCCCTCATCCACAGGAAATTCCAGGGAGCTTTTGGTCAAGTTATTTGCAAA